CAACGCTGCGTATGCGCATTATTAGGTGCGTTTGTGTGTGGCTCTATTTTGGTGTTACCTCCGCACAGACGCTCCCTTTTTCCCCCACCCCACCCCTTCCTTGCCTTCTTCGCCCGCCCCTCGATCATATTCAATGCTAAGCCGAAAAATATCAAAAACTATCATCACTGGCTGTTTGTGTTGTTATTGTTGTGATAACACGGATTGAGGTGTGCGCGTGCTCTCTTTCCCCTGTCGGCGGTTTCTGCTTCTCGGTGCTGCGCTGCTTTTCGTTGTGACGTCGGCGTTAACAATTTACATGTGTCGTATGCTGTGTTTGTTTTGTTACTTGTATTGTTGTTGCAGACTTTTATCAAAATTTGTTTTTTGATACAGTGGTACCAACCAAGTGCAAAAACCATGAAGAAAAAGTTTTAAATGTATATAATTTTGATAAAGGTTCTTTAATTTTTTTCTAAAGCCATATAACTCTATGAACAATTTATCAAATTGAACATTTCTTAACGTAGGAATAGTTAAGGGATGAACATAGCTCGACAAATATTAAGTTGTCGCTATTGTTTAATTTTTAATTTTTGTATTTGTAAACCACTGTGCCGCCATCGGCAACCAATAAGAAATTAACGCCATTGCTGTTACTGCTTTTGTTGTTGACACGATCGTTTGTCGTCTCGCTTCGTGAATGCTTCGCATACACTCGGAGAAAGAGAGCGGTGATGATGCTCTCTTTACAGCTGTCCGCTCAGCACACTCAGCTGAGCCACTTGACATGTGGGGCCCCACCACTAAATCTCCCGTGCGCCCCACCACTTCCCCCTCGTTACGCGTGACTGTGGTGTGACCAAATTTGGGGCAAACGAATTTTGAGAAAAAAAATTCACCGTTATGGCTGCACACCAGATTTTTAAAAGCATTTAAAACCCGAAGATGACAAGCTATTTGAGAGAAATTGTGCGGGAAAATGGAAAATGGAGGCGCTCTATGACGAAGAAAATTCTTTTTCTTTTTCGGAAACAGTCAAACACACAATCTCAGTTGGATAAATTCTAATTGCCCGTAAATTAATTCAAATTTGTTGGTGCTCAGTTTTGCCTTTTTTGGTCACACTTGCCAAATAGTTTTTCGCGCCTGAGCGACATGTTGACACAGATGCACTGAGAAAAAGGCAGCTAGTTTTAATTTTTAGCTCACATATCTCTTGGAATGTAAGCATATTACGAGGTTTTAGGAATAGTTTTAAATTTCGCCAGTGTAAAATCGCTAGTATTCGTCTGTTTGTCCACCTATCAGCGTTTGTATGTGCGGACTTGTGTTGGCATTCCGTTCTGTAGACTGGCCCTGACTGTCTGCAATTGACCGCAAAGCGAACGTGTGCTGTCTAGTGTTAATTAACAGCCACGCATCGCAGCTAAACATGAAAATACACACTTTTGGATGGACCGCTCCATGTAATCGCAAAGAAACGTAAATTTGAACAACATTACTCATACGACAATTTGTCATCTCTTGGATATTATTGCTAAAAATTAAGTTTTCGTAAATGTTATTGCAAAAAACAATTCGATGCCCCTCAGCAGGTATTCCATGCACAGAGTATAACATTTTATGATTAAACTCTATCCCTTAGCTTAGGGAAAATGTCCACCCTAATATAATGCGCATACGCAGCGGCGGCCGAAACATTATAGAAAGCGAAAAAACGAGATGGAGTTTGCAGGTTGCAGATCAATCTTTTGATTTTGATTTCGATATTGATTTCAATTGCTCTCGGTCTTCTTCTCTCCTCCGCTGTGCTCCCATGTCTTCCTTTGTGGCGGCTTTATCAATTTGCGTTTGCAATCAGTGCTGACAAGAACAACAACAACGGCAAATAGAAACGAGGCGCGCGCTGTGCGCTCACACACACATCGAAATCAATTAAACCCGTTGTCGCCGTCATTCGGCCACGCGTACACTTGTTGCTCCGGCGGCTCTCTATCTTCTCTCTCCACTAACCATTCAGCATCATTCGTTCGTTCTTTTCGCCGGACGCTTGACTTGAGAGAGAATTCTCCGGGTGCCCGGGTTCGAGTCTGCGCTAAAGTTATATAGCGCGCCCACCATTTTCCGTCGCAGTCCAACGATCTCAGCGTAAGTGTTCGCATCGCCACTCGTCGCCGGTCTCCGAATTTACGGGTTACGGGTTACGGGTCACGGTTTACAATTTACGATTCACTACTTACGGCGATTTTCGGTTCGCGGTTAACGGTCTTCGGCTTACTATTACGGTTACCCCGGTTTAACTAACGAACTCGTGCTAAAATTTTGCACTTTTCCCAGCCCGCTTTTTTTTCTGGTGTGATGTGCTGAAATTACGTTTATTATTTGAAAAGTTAAAAGTTGTGCGCCCATTTTTTATTAGCCGAAAAGCCATTGTCTGATCACGAAGTTGCAAAAATTCAAATCTGCAAATGAATCAAAAACAAAATTCAACGTAAATAAAATTAAAAAAAAATTTGTTGTATGTCTTAACTAATTTTGGTTTTTCAGTACTTGGTTTTCCCTTGAAGATACCTTTTTAAATGAGGGGATATATTTCAATGTTAACATACTTAATTTTCTTAAAAAAAACTAGTGATAGAGATTGAAATGATTAGATTTTTATGTGTGCCACGAATCTTTAAAATGAATCTAAATCTGATCGTGATCAAGTTCCTTACATTCAAGTTTATAAGTTACAGTTTTCAACATTAAATCTTGAGTACTATCATTTTTCGAGGGAAACCCAAGTAATTGCTCTCAGTCGCGTAGTTAATCTTATCGGCTATTGGGCTGAGGTGTAGACTTCTTTGGACAGACCCTGTGCATAAGTAGGTTCTAGTCGCGAATTCCCAGACCACAACGAAGACAGCGGAACCCGTCGAGAGTCTCCCAAGCGCCAAAAAAGAAATTAAATACAACACAATTATATACGCATTTAATTCACTTTCCGTTTGTGATTCCTCACATACCGAAAATCGCGTAAAAACTTTTGTTTATAACAAATTTTAAAGCGGCCAACAACCAATCCAAACGAGAAAAGCAAAAATAAGAGGAAAAAAAATTAAATAAATGTGCAAAAATTAATTTAAGAGAGATGATAAGTGTTCGAACAAATTGGTGAAAAAAAGTGTTTTGAGGGGATTTTTTTTTAATTTGACTTGTAGTGTCTAAGAGTTCTGTTAAAGATCTGTTAAAAAGCTTTTCTAGATTTGCCATTTTGGGATTTTTTTGAAATTGCGTTTTAGAAACCTTTGACAAGTTGTGGTAGCATTAGATTTTTTACTTTCCCAGGTTCCCAGCTTTTTTGATGTTTCCTGCTCAAGAACTAAAAACAAATAATAGTATAAAGAACACAGATCAGATAAGATCAGCTTAGTTCTGCTGACTTGAGGCTCGTTTATTACACGTTCAATGTGGGTCAATGAAACAAGATCATGATTTTTCACAAACCCAACGACAGTCGCTACACACATAACACACAGTATTACACACAAGTATTTCTGAGTATATAAAACCGATTGCTGATTAATACACCGTACAATTTCAATTAGCATTTATTCAAGCCAAGAACTTGCCTTGGCATTTGATTGTCAAAAAAAAATAAAATAAAGACCAATCCATGCCGAAACTAGAGGCCATCGAAGTTATGGCCGAGGGGCGGTGGGGCGTGTATTAGAAGGGGGCGGGGTTGGTCGGTGCTAACACACTTATCTGTGTCACCTCGATTAAAATCGAATACCAAAAATCCGAATGCACGGTGGGAAAAAGTATTAGGGAAAGTGGGTAAAGTGGTATATTGCTATGCAGCTAATAAAATGTATAAGCAGTGCATCAATATATTCTCTTATTAACTAAATTACAACCGTTTTGAAGTAAAAATTCAAAATATAGTAGCTTATATAATTTAATAAATTTAAGACGTGGGTTCTACATTAGTTACAAGGCATTCTTTTGTTTTCGCGAGTGCACCTTCTGATTCTCAGGGATTGAACGAATCTGAGGACAGAGTTTTCAAAAGTGGTTGGGGCTTGGAATTCCTTGGGACCTTGCGGAACTTGCCACTCCGAAAGGCTTTGCATTCCCCTCCGAAAAGTAAAAGGAGCCCAAACAAGTAGAACAGGGAAGAGTCTCGAGATCGGTTGGAACCCGTTCTCCGATTCCGATTCTGATTTCGAACTCTAACTGTAAACGACAAGATGATATGGCAAAGAGCAGTGATACCAGGAAGCAGTTGCAGGATCGAAAAAAGAAACACTAAAAAATCAGAAACAAGTAAAACTTTTCAAGGCGCCTCGGACAACGAAACCCGTTTTGGGAAAGGGAGAAATAAATGCACTTAAGGGGCCCCCCAACTCCTCCCTTCGATTATCATAATCATTATCTATATGCAACAAAATGATCATTAAACCATTGCGATCTCCTTATTTCTGTCTTTTCTTGTCGATTGGACTTTGAACCGCGCCGGCGATTAAAGAAGATGTGTATACGAAAGAAAAACAACATTTTTTTTTATATCGGTCGGTTTCAGTTTTTTCGGCATCGGGCTGTAAAAATTAAAAGAAAACGAAAAAAAAAAAGAAACGGCCGTATGAATAAATAAATAAGCGAGCGAAAAAGGCGAAGTGCCGAAACAAAACAAAACGAAACAACGCATTTTTCAACCTGTTTTTAAAGCGTTTCAATCGCTTTTTTTCGGGCGTTTTCTAAGCATTGCAAAATGTCAAAAATGTCGAGCCGGATTTTTTGAATTCGAATTGCCACTCGTTTTTTTTTCTTCACGTTTTCATTAATTTTCTTTCCCCCTATTTAATAAAGCTGCCAGTTATTTACAACAAACACAAATGCAAAAACAAATGCAAAAAACATTTGAAAACAAACAAAGCAACAACAACAAACAAATGTACAAAGCTAATCCAAAATTATACCAATTAAATTAAACAACAAAAACAATTAAATGTGCCAACAATAATTACCAAAAAACCAAAACAAAAAAATCGAAAACAAAAAACAATATTAGTCAAAAGAAAAACCACAAAATCGATGCCTGTGAACATATTTATAAAATACAATAAAAGCACTTATCCCAAAAAGAGAACGAGAAAGCCAAGGAGAGAGGAGAGAGAGCAAGAAAACACTGAGAGAAACACATATATTTAATTGCATTAAATAGCCATAAGAGTAACTTAGTTGAAAGTCCAGTGAAAATCCATCAAAATGCGCTTCACCTACAATCAGTATAAACATTACGAGTCCGGTTATCGGATTCCATCCAAAATGCATAATCTGAGCCACCACAACAACAACAATAACAATTCGGGGGGTGGCAACAACAGCAATAACAATAATAATGGCCATCATTATGCCCACCACAACAACAACAACAACAACAATAATGGAGGCAACAACAACACAAACTATCAAGTGTATCAGCATCATTACAAAAGCAACTTCGGTAAGGATAACCCAATGATAATCCAAAAAAGGCGCTATATCGTTATCAGGATATATATGATAAGTGTTGGGAGAAACTGGCAAAAAAAATGGGAACCAATCGATTCCATTGGGTTCTTGCATTTGGAATGGCTTTATATCTTTTATATCATTAATCTATAACATTGTAAAACTTAACGTAAAAACATTCAAACAAAATGTTGTGAAATTCGAAAATAATCAAGTCAAAATTCAAAGTATTCAAAGAGCTTATATTGGCCGCAAAGTTCTTTCTAACTTATATATCCACCATAAAGATATTCAATAAACGCCTAAATTCCAAACAAATATTAGCTGTTGTGATATCGTGAAAGGTTTTTGATAGACTTCTCTGTGGAGAGCCAACACGACAATGTTAATTCATTCCCTCTTCCTTGATTTACCCTTTATGGGTATTACGTATATCCAAAGCAGAAATCGCAAATCCAGATATCGCTCCAATTGTACTATCCCAACATCCAATGCTAATGGCAAATGGTTGATGGCTTATCGGCAACAGGCCATAATTGCTTTGAAATCAAATCTCGCGCTGCGCTGCGCCTTTGATAAGGTGTCATAATCGGTATGGGTGTTCGAGTACACCTGGAATTTCCTCGCCTCGAAGATCCAACCAGAAATGCCGAGCTCCCCAATCTCGAATTACGCGAGAGGCGCCAGTTGTCGCCGGTGATTCAATATATTCCTTTCTTCCTATCAGCCTTATTGCCTTTGGTTTGGGTTCGGATTCGGATTCGGGCTGTTTTGTTTAACGCTTTTCGCCAGTTGCCAAGTTTGGCACGGCCCATGGCGATAAGATTACACACACTCAAAAACAGTAAAAACAAAAAAAGAGCAGTATTTTGCCTGGAGGCCCGAGCCAAACCATCTAGCCAAGTCGTCCAATCAAACAGCGAAGCACTTGACCAAACCCAAACCGCTAATTGGATGGTGACAAATGAGATCAGCGAGGAGAAGAAATGGTGGTGAGCCTTGAGAATTGGTTAGACACTTATGAATCGAGTGGTTGGCGGGGTTCCAATTGAAAAAAACAATAATGTACTTGTTCAGTTATGTATATAATATATTAGATAACATATTGGATATTTTACTGCATTTATTTCCTTGATTATTAAAACTCAAAACTTAACAATTTAAACTGCGAGTTCGATTTGCAAACAATTAATAAGCAGCTAGGAGTCGCTAATCTCGGAGCAATGCTATCCAATCAAACAAATTGACCCGACGACTCCCCGCCTCATTTCCGTTATTATCATTTTGCGGAGGGGCTCATCTTTCGCTATATCGAACAAATAGTTCAGTTGGGCGGCTTGGGGCCGAGTGGGTCAGGCGGGTTCAATACACTTAATGCCTTTTTATTGACAATCTGTTTTGGGTTCACCTCTGCGAAGCTGTCATTTCGTCCGCGGAGTCTGCGTTTAATTATAGAACTCGCCAGCCCCGACGACGGCACATCTGTGTTTAACTTATCCAGATCCCAGATCCCAGGGTGACTCTCTACCTCTACCTCTCCAACCTCGGTGCGAAATTCGAATTGAATTAAAGTCCGTCCTCTTTTCTTTTTTTTTTGTCTGCCAATTGAGTGCAAAGTCGGCTGACTGACTATATCATGATGGATACAATGGCTTTAGCCATGATTGTCTTCTGTATTGTCAGCGAATCCATTTATCTGTTGTATCTAGCTAGCATCTAGTACCTAGCATCAGTATCTGTATCTGTATCTGTATCTGCGGAATGAGGCGGCAGTTTGTTCGCCCCTTGGAAACAAAGGCCAAAAACGGATCCACACATATCCATCCCGACCGAAACCCGCCGATCACAAACGCTCTTATCTCCTGCGATCCCAGGTAAAGCCCATTTACCGAATTACCAAGGGGTACGGGTTATGTTCTATGGGTTCTACTGCTTTCTTCAGGTAGGCGCGTTCCGCAAGCCCAACAATAAATGTTTGCTTGTTTGTTTGTTTGTTTGTTTGCTTTGTTTACGCGGCGGTTTGCAGCCAAGGTTAGGCCAAAAGGGTGCGGATCGCGTGGGTGTTCTCTGTACTTATGCCATCGTAAAAGCCAAGAGTCGAACAGATTTTCTCACCTTCCTAATTTGTATATCTATATCTACATCGGTATCTGTATCTGTATCTGTATCTTTTTTTTTTTTTTTTAATATTTTTTTTTCGAGCGCAACGCACGTCACCGAGGAATCTTCGTAATTGGAGATCAAAGTTTGTTTGCTTTCGTTGCTGCTATCAAAGGCGGCTGTTGTTTGCTCGATTCTTATCTCGTAAATTAGCTCGTAATTGTTTAACGATTTTACCGGAATTAAGGAACGGAACATACATTTCTAATATATTTCGCTGGAATTAAAATGGATTTCCGAAAGTGGGTGTTGAACACTTTTAACTGGGCAAATAACTATGGTGTTATGGGAAATATGCTTTTCATTTGACATTATCTATTACCTTCACACTTCTTTACAATTTTTCAATGTTTTATTACCTGGATTTTTCGGTAGAAATGGTTGTATTTGCTTTACTTTTTAGGTAGTTATAGTAACCTTTTCTTTCTATATGAATAATTCTTAGAATAGCTTAGTACTATATAATAATTGTTTATATTATATAACATAAGTCTGCAAATTCCCTCTAGTTTTAATGTAAAAAAGTAAAAAGTAAAGTAAAAGTAAAGTAAAAAGTAACTTTGGTAACTCTGCTCCAAATATGAACTGCAGAAACTCCTTTACATTCTTGGTTTCCCCATCTTATCGTTCCTTCTTTGCCTTCTTTTCTTTCTTTTCTTTCTTTCTTCGATTCACTTCCACTTTGGCCTATCCCAACAAACATTTGAGCCCCCAGATTGTCGCCCCTATATGGAGATACAACCCGAGTCGTCCGAGTATTCCGCCTCGCCTGCGCCCCCAAAAGAAATTATCAAATTTTATTTGCAATTGATTTGCATTTTAATTAAATGTTCCTCGAAATAAACAAGTAGAGGAGGCAGGCGTTCTGTTTCAGTTTCAGTTTAAGTTTCTTTTGTTTTTGTTTTTGTTTTTATTGGTTGGTTTATGAATAAATAAAGAAGCGCAAGCCGAATATACGATCCAATACGGGGTAATAATATAGAAATATAGAAGTGGTAAGTGAGACAAACGGGGTGAGGAGCTCGTTAATGGGTTGGGTTCGCCTGGTTCGTTTGGTTTCTTGGCTGGGTTTGTCTGGCTTCCTTATCAGCGGACTCTCCGGCTCATTGTTCCGCTGCCCGTGATAATATATGTACAAACTGCACCCATCCAGATGATATATATATATATATATATTTGTCCGTATATATATATATATATTATAGGCAAGAACTCCATGTAGAGCAGAAAAAATAACGCTAAAAAAGTCCGACGGCAACTGGTGCTGTTGTTGAAATTGAAATTGAAATGGAAATGCGAATGCAAATGGAAATTGAGCCTCAATTGAGATCAACAATGAATGCAACCACAGTGGCATCAGCATCAGCATCACCATCCGCATCACCATCATCATTGCTACAATATAAGCTGCAAACAGAACAGAACAGAACAGAATCTATGCTCCATGGCAATTCTACGGACCTTAGTTCCCCGTGGTTTGCACTCTCCGCCGGAGTTCATTGCACCCTCGAGTCGTATTATCAGTCTTCCCCCCGGCATACTCTATAGAACTTGCAACTTGCGAACGCGGTCCACAAATCCAGACAATGTTTTCTTGGTCTCGGCTTCTCTATCTGGGTTTTTGTTCTTTTGTGTTTCAATGAAGCCAGTTCCATGATAGAACTGATATACTCGTACAGAACTGAAAATGAGTTCTTTTTCTAGCAAAAATGTATTTCAATTATTTCCAATCACCCACAAACTTCGAACGGAGTTAGCTAGTAGCTTGCTTTTTGTCTTAGAAATATGTTATGTATTATCTTATCTGTTCTAATCCAAGTTGAATTGTAATTTCAGGCATGAGGATGACCATGTCCACCAATTCCACAATGAGTTCGCGAATACATCGAAAGGGATTTCGCATACCATCGAAAAGACAGCCGGGTAAGGGATTGCCCGGCAAGCTCCACACCATCACCAGGGTGAGTAAATGGGTTTTCGATCAATAATAATAATAATTCTATTCTGAATTTCTAATTAAAAATATTCAGAGTTCGCTTAACTTGTGGCTAAGCAGGAAAAATATCTATTAATTGAACAGAATCATCCCAAAATGTTGATTTGATTGCCAACATGTTCAAAATAATTCATACTTATTAAAAAGTGTTTGAACCATTAAAATTTGAAATACTATTTGCCTACAATCTCGGGTAAAATCTTAATAATCATAGATTAATTACGCTTTTTTTTTAAATAATAATAATTTATACAACTTTAAAACAAACAAGGTCAAAAGTATTGCAATTATTTAAATTTGTAGCTGATTATGATAATATCTATTGTTATGTTTATTGTGCCAATGGTTTTAGTTATGTGAGAATTAGTTGTTTTTTTTTAATAATTTTTTTAATTAATAATACTTATTTAATGGTACTCATCTCCCTTAATTTTTTGTTTATTTTTCAGGCGGGTCCCGGGAAGATAGTTCCTGGGAAGCGAATACCACAGCGACCCCATCCGCCGCCCTGCGACAATTCCAATGACAGCGGCCTCGGCTTCGATCAGCACACGGAGCTGCGATCCTCAGCGGGGGCGGGGGGCGTGGCCGATCCGGTGGTCAACAGCAGCAGCGGCAGCAGCAACTCCGGCCAGCGGACCACGAGCGGTCTGCTGGTGAACAGTGCTCTGACCAACACAGTGGCTGCTGCAGCAGCCGCAGCAGCTGCTGCAGTGGCGAGCAACACGTTGCAGCAGCACCAGCAACACCATCAGCAGCAGCAGCAACAGCAGCAGCAGCAGCAGCAGCAACAACAGCAACAGCAGCAACATTCACCGCAGCAGCATTTAATACGAGCGATACCTGTATCAAGGTGAGTCACTGTCACTCTTCGGCGATTATATATATATATATCTATATATATATCTATACCTGTGTGTATATGAATACTATACATATGTATGCCTCTCAACCCCAAAATCTTCATCCGAGTTTATGCGCAGGCGCAACTCGAGATAATTGCCAGCTCATGATTTCATTTCGTTTTGCGTTTGATTCATGGTTTCGAGTGAATGAATATTGATATTGCCGCCTCACCGCAAAAAAAAAAAAAAACAAAAAAAACAAAGCTCACACTCAGATGCACAACGCGCACACATAAAAGATATCTATTCCGATTTTTTAATTTGTAAATTAGCTATTTTTGATCCGGTTACAGTTTTGCATTATCTTTGAGATCAATGTGTGTTTTGTTTTGTCTGGTTTATTCTTGGGAGAATCTATCCCATAAGTATTTAAACTGAACACATCTATCAACGATTTTCTCTGAAGGCTTGAATGAATATTTTTATTAAAAATATTATTAAAGTGCGGTATACGTTTGAAAGTAACACTTGCCGTCCAAGCAAAACCGTATTTATTTGTTCTTGTGATTGGATTCCAATAGATGAAAGCCTCCTGGCAAAAGAAATAGGAGTCTTCTTCAGGTTTTCCGCGGTTCGGGTTTTATCTACTTGACTCCGTTCAGTTCGGAATTTGGCTTTGTTAGGAACTCGTTTTTCCAATAGACGATCAATAGTATATAGAACTCTACTTCAGTGTCAAAATACATTGGTACTTATAACAATTTCTGAAACTTAAATCGTAAAAGGAACATTTATTTATACTCATTTCAACATTGATAGATTTGTGATAGTTTAATTACTCTTTCATTGGTTTCCATTTCTTATTAGAATTTGATCTTCAATTGATGTTTTGTAGGTCATGGATGCATTTGGCATTAATAGTTCAATTCCAATTTTAGATTTCACATAATGATCTTCTATGTGTGTGTGTGTGTGTGTGTGTGCGGGTTCATTGTGTTGTGTGTGCGTTGTTGTCGATCTCGCCTTTTGTTGTTGTCATCTTGTTGTTGTAGCTATTGTAATTGCATGCCCCTATCTGTGTAAATCGCCGCATTATCTTATCAGCTTATCAGTTAACGAGCGCTCCTCCAATTGCAAATTGCAGTTGAGAATCTGAAAAATAAAAAAAAAAAAAAAGGAAATATAAGGAAAAGCCAAAGGGGAGGAGGTTTTTTGTTTTTTTTTTTTTTTTTTTTTGTTAATTCAGAAGGTGTTTGGCTTTTGGGGTTGCCCCTTATCTCTATAAAAAATCCAAAGGGAAAACAATGGAAGTGCTTTGATTTTTATGGGGCTCATTTAGGGCTTTTGTTAATTGCAGCGACGATCGGTAAATGGTTAAGTGTTTTTACTTTTTATTAGTATCGATCATTTACAATTTAATCAACAAGCTTATGAGGTTTTATTAAAAATATAGCAAAGGCAACGAAAAGTATATAATACCATTTATAATTTAGCTAAGGAGAACATTCGGGTTGCATTTCAAAAATGATTTTAAAAATATTCTCGCTGCTCCAGAAAGCAATGAATTTCATTTTAAAAATAGTTTTGCATCACGACGTTATCAATTAAAATGTATAATGCATTTTAAAAAGAAAAGCATTCTATTTAATGTTGAAAACAATGTTTCTTGTAGAATATTCCAGTGCTGACTTTTGTCTCTTTGAGTTTTTTGTGAGCGTTTCGCTTTTGGTGTTTGTTGATCTTGTAGATTTGCACATTCTTTGGCGGTTAATTTCATTTGCATACTTGAAAATACGCATTCTCTCTATCCGTCTCTCTCTCTCTTTATATCTCTCCATCTCTTTCGCACTTTGGCCAATGACTTTTAGATGGGGATTGTTTTCTTGAGTTTGTTGGTCGTCGGACGCGATTACTTATACGCACTGTTGCCGCCGTCCGCCTTGCGATTCGTGATTCGTGATTCGTGATTTCGCTTTGCTCCGCTCGGCTTATTATCAATCAGCTGCACTCGCAGTGCTCCATTTGCCCGATTTGGGTTAGGACTGAAGCGCAGTATCTGCGAGAGAGATTACGTACAGCATTATGGGTGCAGGGAAATTATGACATGCCACTTTATCAGTTTCATAAGCTAATCGGTGAGTTAGTTTCTCGGTTAAATGTGATTTCTTCTGGGTTTATTGGCTGGCCAAGTTTTTTTTGCCAAGTAACAGATTTTATTGGGAAATAACTAGTTGCTTTGTTGATTGATTGATTGTCAACAAACAGTTTACTTTGTTTCATTGTGACTTGATTTTATCTAATTGAACTTAGTTTGTATTCATCTACATGCCAATTCAAATACATTGTTGCACATTACTTCACTGAAAATAACGTTCTTTTTGGGCTAAATTCATATTTACATACACATTTCACCTGCGATTCGCAACGTAATGTTCTTGATTTGTTCAACCTTCGATCAAGATATTCTCTTGATTTTCCCTGTCGAATGGAATCAAACTCTGGTTTTTTTTTCGATTGAGTTCAGGCCGTTAGTTCCGTTCAGTTCTCTTCAGATCCGTTCGGTTATATTCAGTTTAGTTTCAGTTTCTATCGGGCTGAGTGACGGTTGTGCTTCGTTCGATGCATTTTCAATGCATTTGGACATTGGTTGTCACAAAGGAATTTGGTTTCCGATATAGGTTTTAGTTTAGCAATTAAATAAAACAATTACATAGTTTAGAAATCGAGGAATAATCGATTCAAAGATGGTAAGGCTCTTAGATCTTTTGAGTATCTAAATTAAAGGAGAGAAAGCGATCCGAGAGTAGTTTTAAATATATTTTTAAATGCGTGCGTGTGTTGCTGTTGTGTATCCATGTACATGAATGTCTGTATATATATGTTAACGTATAGATCGCGGCACGACAAGAAAATGATGGGCAGCCACTATCTGGAGGATCTGGATCTGATGTCGGCCTCCTCCTCGGAGGACTCGGCCGCCTCCACGCCGATCAATTTGGACGAGGACACGGGCTTCGTGAACGACAGCAATTCGACGACTCCGATCGGTGGCAATAGCAATTCGGCGGATCCGTTTGGTGGCGTCTTCCAGGCAACCGAAGCGGCCGTTGCGGCAGCCGTAAATGCATTCAACCTGCAACAGCAGCAGCAACAGCAGCAACAGCAACAGCAGCAGCAGCAACAGCAGCAGGTGCAACAGCAACATCATGTGCAACAGCAGCAACAGTTCCAGTACAACGGATTGCTGTTGCAGCAACAGCAGCAACATCATCATCCGCATCACAGCAACAACAACAACAACAACAATCATCATCGGCATGGGAAGCACATCAAGCGGAAGAAACTGGAGTGCAACCAAGTGGAATTGGACAACGATGATGCGTGCAGCGAGGATGAGTTCATCCGCAAGATTGCCAGCTCGGTGGCTGTGGCATCATCATCTCCATCTGCTGGATCCCCAGTGGATGCCACGCCACCTCCTCCTGTTGCCGCCCCTGCAACTGCCACGCCCACTGCCAGCCTTCTACCACGAATCAACAACAACAACATTGAGACAAAGTAAGCGGCGTGTTTTCTTTTGCAGCTGATGAACCCAAAAAAAAGAAAAAGAAAACAGAGTTTGCCACAAAAAATATCCATAAACGATCTTTGGTAAATTTTCTATGACTAAATAAAATTCAATAAAATCTAGAGCTACATAATATTGGTAAAAAAAAAAAGAATATAGAACAAAAAAAAATAAAAGTTAAAAATATTTTGGAAAAAATAGGAAACAAATTTGAAAGGATGAAGGAAAACATTAAAAAGAAATATACATGTACAGTATATAAAAATAAAATGAAACAATTACCAATATTATGGCAACGAGTTTCGTAGTAATTTGAAATAATAGAACGGCGATAAGAAAAGCAATCGCCCATTACACATCAACAAATTAGGAACGCAAATTAGTATTAATCGTTTATTTTTGGCAATCAGGGAACCCTTGGGCGGAAAACAATCAATTTGAACGGAAAGTACTATATTTAAATGGAAATCAAATTACCATGGCTCAGAATTCAGAATTCAGGCAAAAAAAATAGGCAAATTGTTGAGTGGCTCAACGATGTTTTGACAATGTTATTAGCATTAAAAACAACTAGTTTACCTTCCAAAATTGAACCCAAACTGTGGGAGAGATACGAAAAAGTGCGAATAACCAAATAAATTATTTCGGTGCCTGAATAATTGACTCTTTGCACAGAAATAAAAATACGTTTGCTATTTGCGCAGATTATTTACTTTGATGGCTTTGACTTTTGTTCTTTAATAATTGCTCAATGTGTGTTTGTTCCCGTCTATCTGTATATATTCTCTATATACATATATATATATATATATATTTGTGTTTGTATGTGTCCGTTTGTAAACAAAGGCGAAAAAATTTGCGGTAATTGTAAACAATTGGTCAAAGCTAAGATTTATTTAAACAAACAAAAAACGAAGAAGCGAATCGAACCAAACTCAATTGCAAAGTGCAGCAATGGAAATTGCGAATAAATTCCCTTTTGGCTTTTTTATGTGTGTGTGTGTATGTTTGTGTGTAATTAACAGCAACTGAAAGTCATATATCATGCATTTCTTAACTCAATCCGTAGCTTTCGTAGCTTTGTATCTTTGTATCTAAAAAAGAACTCATCTCATCATTCCATTCCTGGCCAGCACATGTGAAAAACAAGCCATAAATCATTAAAACCAAACCCAAAAATCGAATCTAGATTTCTTCAAACGGACATAACATTTTGGCCAAAGTTCAAGTACAAGTGCCAGATATATATCTATGTATATACATATATATATTTAACGATCCTTAGAAAAATAAACCTCCTTTTTAACGATCGCGAATGGAAAAGTTGCAAATTCAAACTAATAGATTTCGGTTTTATCTTCTTTTTTTTTATTAAACCTGCAGATTCATTTCGGCCAGGAATGTTACCCGCGTGGCCAACAAGCGCCAGCCGACGACTCCGCTGAACAGCATTGCGAGCTCCAACGATGGCCAGGTCCAGTTGGAGATCGTTTCCCAGCCGGAGCAACAGCACCGGGCCCGCTACCAAACGGAAGGCAGTCGCGGAGCAGTCAAGGATCGGAGTGGCAACGGATTCCCCATCGTTCGGCTCACCGGCTACGACAAGAACGCCGTGCTGCAGGTCTTCATTGGCACGGACATCGGCAGAGTGGCGCCGCACATGTTCTACCAGGCGTGCAAGGTGGCTGGGAAGAATTCCACACAGTGCAACGAGAAGAAGGTCGACGGCACCATGGTCATCGAGATCGATTTCAAGCCCGAAACGGACATGACCATCACCTGCGATTGCGTTGGCATCCTGAAGGTGAGATGGATCAAGATCATAAGATCAAGAATTTAATAGGGATCATGTGTTTTATATCACTGCGATAATAGAATTCGAACTATACAATAATTTATGTGTGAACAGGAAACTTTTAACCTTGTTTAAATCCTTTTAAAAGTTTAAAATCCAATTTGAATATATTTCCTACATATATATAAATATTTAATAGAGATCGCAGTGATTAATATGTAAACAGTAAACTTATAACTTATTATTATTGTTAAACCATCAAATCTAACTCACATTTATACCCCTTCCAGGAACGCAATGTGGATGTGGAGCACCGCTTTCCGGAGCATCTGGCGCAGAAGAACAAAAAGAAGTCCACCCGCTGCCGCATGGTGTTCCGCACCCAATTGACCCGCGACGATGGCACCACCGAGACCCTCCAAGTCTGCTCGAATCCCATCATCTGCAGTGAGTTTCATACTGGCTACCATATATAGCATAGTATACTCAATACATATTCAGGCAATATTTAATGCAAACTTTTACCTTTCAGCTCAGCCACCTGGCGTGCCGGAGATCTGCAAGAAGTCACTGAACTCGTGTCCCGTTGACGGCGGACTCGAGCTGTTCATCATCGGCAAGAACTTCCTGAAGGACACGCATGTGGTGTTCCAGGAGACCTACGACAGCGTCAACGGCGACGATCCCGCCACCGAGATTGCGGTGCGCCAGCAGCTCATCGGCGGCACCGCCGCCCTCTGGGAACAGAGCGTCCTGCCCGACAAGGAGTACCTCCATCAGGTGGGTCACTGGTCAACTAGTTGGAAACAATTCCTTTGCCTCGTTTAAATGTTATCTAAAGAGAATTGGTAGAAAGTTGTGTAAAGATGTCTATAATTCAGAGCTCAAAACGTATCCAATTTCAATCAGATTTCAAAGTGTCATAGCTTAAAACATTTGTAGTTTAATTTATAGAAATCCAAATCATCTGATCTTTTGAAAGTATCTACCATATATATAGCTATTCCATATTGATGATAGTTTTATTAATCGATTGCTTCGCATTCCATTGGCAGACCCATCTGATCTGCACCGTGCCGCCGTATCTGCACCAGAGCATCCTGAAGCCCGTCCCGGTGCAGGTGTCGATTGTGTCGAGCGGCAAGAAGAGCGAGCCGCACACGTTCACCTACACGCCGAAGGGACAGTACACGACGCTGGCGGCGGCCAGCACGTTAAGTAACACAATCCACGCCCAAGGTATCTATTTGTTGACTAAGCGTTCGATCGCACCCAAACCAACCGAATTACCGATTTACCGAATTACCAACCACAAAACTCCCAGCCGGAGATCGCGAATCGTTCGTGTTAGAAATCGAGATATACATATATACATATAGAAATCGAGAGAACATATTGAAAAACTCTTGTTACGGAAAATGAGTTTAAGATACAAATGCGAGGTAGTCAGGCTTAGGCAGTTACTTAAAGTGTATGTTTAATGTCAATTTTAGTCTACCTCTAGCACTCTGAAGATCCCATTCTTTTCGTTTATTATTATTTTCCTCCTTTAAAGTCAATAATCGAACATATAAATTAGCTAAACTAGAAACGAAAGTATAACTATTGCACACGCATAAATCGATATGCGATGTTTGATTTATGAAAACAATCTGATCTCTTCATGCGTTATTCAGTTCTTTCTTTCCTATCTATCTATCTATTCTACTTTTCTTTCTCTCACTTCACTTCACTTCTTCTCTTTTCTTTTCCCTTCTGGCTTCTTATTTGCGAGTTGGCTTAAAGTATTTAAATTTATTAATAAACATATATTTAACAATTAGCAAGTCTGTGTGTGGCTAACCGAACAATGGAAAGAGAACAATGTTGTTTTGCAAATATATATGTTTTTGACCTCGAAATTGCGCAGAAAATCTCACGAAATTTAAACACTTTTCAGACTGAATTCCACAGACAATAATTTCAATAATCAAATAAAAGAATAACTGAAACATGTCAAGATCAGCTTAAGAGAATAGTTAGTTTAAGACTTTCAATGATCTGTTTTATTGGCATTTGTAATTTTATTTTCCACATACATTTCGCTCGATAAATAACCAAAATATCCTCGAGTTCATTGCCTTGTTATCATTTTTACTAAAAGAATGAATTTTCATTCATTTTTGGGCCACTAAGAAGGGAAACTTATCGCTCATAATTTGCCTGCCACCTTTTCTTTATTCCTATTCCTTTCATAATTTCCGATACTTTTACTTTGCACCGGATAACGCATGAAAAAATCAATACCTAATATCTTTAAGTAGGGAACAAGAACTAAAAAAAAAGAAAAAGAAAACAGAATCGAAAAATATAACATAAAATATAACTTAATCTATAAGCACCATCAAGAATGATAAAACAAAAACCCTAAATTAAATTAATAACTATAAATGATTAAGGCACAGGACGGTGCAATTCTTCGGAGAAGCGACTTCTCCAGTCTTCCCCCGCCTCACGCTCGCTCACTCTCTCTCGCTCTCTGCCCCTCTCTCTTTGTCTCTCTGCTCAACCCCTCCACTGAGAAGAAAAAGAAGAAGAAGAAGGAGCGGAACCGGAAACTGATCGAAACAACTCTGCTGAATGGATGAACTTGAACTTTTGAACTTGAACTTTTGAATTTGATCTTTCTCCACCAAACGGATCCTTTGCGATGATTTCGAATAGTTTTATTTTTTTTTTTATTGTGGACTTGAATCCGTTTTGGAAAGCATTTTAATATCATTTCCTGAATAGAACCTTTTCATCTTTACGTGAGTCGATTTTTCTTGCCTTTTTTGTATTACAAAATAAAAGTTTCGCTTTTCGCGGGGACTTCCTTCTGGCTTAATTTACGTACGTGTGTGCCTGTGTTTGTTTGCTTGTTTGTTTGTTTGTTTGGCTGGTGGAGTGTTTGAGCGTGTGTTTGTGCGATGTTTGTGCCGGGGGTTTTCTGTGAATGAAGTGCAGAGTTTTCTTGATCACGTTCAGCCGAGAGAAGTACCCCCCCCTCCACCCAAAAAAAAAAAAAAAAAAAAACAGATGAAGGAAAGCTCTACCAGAGCGATAACATAAAAGATATATCGAAAATAAACCGACACACGATGCAATCAGCAGCAGCAGAAGCAGCAGAATATCAGGAGGATATACCTAATAAACCAGACAAGAAGAAGAACAGCAAGGCAGTTCCCCCCAATAAAATAAAAGACTGTTTTTCAAGTCAGGAAAAATGATAAAAATAACCCTCAAAGATCAGGATGTCTTAAAATGAACAGAAAAGAATGAAACCCCCCCTTCACCATACCACAAAAAAAAAAAACTTCCTCCTCCCAAAAGAAAATATGCATATATATATTTTTACTTTATATTCTTCCTCCTTCCCCTTCTCTTAGCAATTTAGGTGCTCAATCTAACTATATAGTCAAATATGTAAATTTTTGAGTGCTATAAAATGCAAGGCCAAAATTAAATCCAAATTAAGTCATTAATCGACAGTCGATATAACAAGTATATAGACACCGATATATCCTGTATCTCTCTATATATGTATACAAAACACAAAACAGTAACTATAGCAAAGAGGCCAACGAGAAGCCAAGAAAAATGAAAGCTTGCCTGGAAAGCAACGCTGGACAAAAGCGATGAAATCGAAAGAATCGCAGCAATCGCTCGATAAGTGACTGCCAATCGCTTGCGTTCGCTGGCGATCGATATTCACACACCCACACACGTCACACAGACACACAAACGGTTAAAGAAATTCTTAAAAAATGAACAAAGGACCTTTTGGCACCCAAAGCAGCAACATATTCTATCCAACACGATGGGAAATGATGACCGGCGAAGGATTTTCGACCCCAACGAGGCTTCAACAGCTACATCTCTGACCATCTCTAAGCTCCAACAACATCACTTCAGCATCAAGGATACTTTTAGGGTACTGGTTAAACACACAAAAAAAAACCATCCAACTATTACAGAAAAAAAATTACAAAAAAAATAATAATTACCGATTGACCAACGTACAAATTCTTTATTGCCATTTCGTAATCCATTTTTATATATGTCTATTAATTAATACCTATACACACACAAAACCCCCTCTTACACACACACACACACACACACATTTACCATTACTATTAACTATAAGGGAAAGCCATTTCACATATAACCTTAGAGCATTACCTTTAAGCATCTATATAATTATATTTATATGTACGATATATTTGCGTACTCACATAAAGCTAACACCATCTGAAGAGTCTTTTGTCCAGTCCTGTTTGTTGAGATCTTGGGATTAAAGATTGTCATCCAGTTGGGTTCACTTTATTCGGCGAGAATAGTTCCGAACATTTCTCCGATTTTTAATTGGGTATGTAAAACCATAGGGTAATTTGATCATTCATTTATATCCTATTAATCCTCTGAAGCGATATAATCCATTTTTAGTAGAATACTATATTTTAAAAGTTCACTTTAAACTAATTCATATGAGAGTTCATTTTCTTACATGTCTGAAATGTATATTCCCCAAAATTCTCTCTAAATATCCAAAATTGTATTAATTTATATTAAAGTCTTAACTATCCACATTCTGCTGTCCCAATAACATTCATTGCATACCCTTTGAAAATCAGTTTTAGTTCTCCTCTATCTAAATCACGCAATTCATGTACAGAATTTTCAGTTTTTCCAACAAGGATGCAAAAGGATCGGTTTGAATTTCATAGACAGTATCAGACCCCAGTAAAACTCTGCTAAGATAACTTAATGAAATATATTCAAATTAGAAACTTCAAGCGGGAACTTGTTCTGAAAGAACCAAAATTAAGAGGTGGTAGTGATGGGACTCGTCTAGAACGAGTGGAATTTCAAGCATCGCTCGACTTCAGAGCCTCAACATTACGCCTAGAGAACCGACAACAGCTTTAGATCAATGCGACCCCGCTTAGGAATCGAGTACTACGAACTGGGATCTGAGAAGTTTTTGGGTTTTCTGGCTCCTAACACTAATCCATAAACACCTTAAAAATAAGTCGTAAAACCTAAGAATTAGAAGTAAATTTACCAGTATTATGAGTTAAGAACAAACAAAATGCTTGGAGTGTGTTGGTGTGATTGAAGAATGATTGTTGAATTTCACGATTGTTGTTGAATGATTGTTGGTTTCTGCGACTGCTGGCGAGAATTAGTTGAATGGTTTAGTTTTCGTAAAGTCTGTTGTTCTGATATCACTAAAAAAAAAAAAAGCTTGACTCTTCTTCAGTTGTGTGATTGATGAAGGAATAGTATTGATTGATTTAGAGTCTGTCTGATGTACTTTCGATCGGTTTTGTCTTGTCATTTGTAGAGTTCAACGACTGCTTTTATAATTGATTTGGTCAGCTTGGTGTGGTTTGATTTTAGCCCGTTTATTTTTGTTGTGTGCCGTGGAAAGAAGATACTTTTTGATTGATTACCTCTATTTCGTAGCTCTCTTGTTGCTCTATTCCCTTTTCTGAGTGCCGCGTGAAAGGATTTGCAAGTGAAACCGAACTGAACCAAGCATAGATACTCCTAAGAACCTACCATAAATTAGCCATTAACTATTCCTAAGACTTAGCTTTAAAAAAAATACCACTGCCCCGCGCGGAGATGGCAGATCCAAAGAATTCGAGTGCTTTTCTTGCGCTCTAGCCTAAGTTTGTTTTTTAGTTTGTAAGTTGTAGTTTAACCGGAAAGAAATGGGGGAAAGGCACTCGGATTTGATGGATCTCTCTCTGTGCAACCCGAACCCCTGACTATCTATCTCAGAAAAACTAGGACTAAGTGCTTACCACCTCCCCTCAAAAAAAAAAAAAAAAAAAAAAAAAAATGCTTTGACTTCTCTTTTACATCTTTGTTTCTTATGATTTCGTTAATTATGACCCAACCAAGTGACCCCTGAGAGCTCAGCTTGAAATGCCACCAAAATGAGATTACTAAGAGGTGTCCATTCTCTGTCCATTGTTCCTCTTGTAGATGTGAGCGGTTTCATGGACACCACAACAGCGTCCAGTGCGAGTGGCTCGAGTGCCTGGACCTCGGCAGCGAATGGCCAATCGGTGACCGGCGACAATGTGGAGGCGAAGCACGAGATCGATTCGGGCATGATGCCACCGCCGATCACCACACAGATACCGATGGGCGTTCGCCGCTCCTCGCTGCCCAGTGTCACGCCCATGATCACCGACCAGCAGCTGGTCCATCTCAATGCGGTGGCCGCCAGTGCGGAGGCTCTGAAGACGGAACTCCTCGACGACAGCAATTCGCACAGTCCCCTAACCGGCGAATCGACGCCGGACAGCCCGAATGCCGCCCTGCAGTACCATCGCTTTGCGCGGAAGCCCAGTCTGGACACCATCATGTACGACCAGTCGAACAGTCTCCCCGGCTTCCCGGCCGTGGTGGCTCCCGCAACAGCGGCTGCCGTCGCCGCTGCCGTCGATATCGATCCGGCTGCAGTGGCCGTTGCCGTCGAGCTGGCCGTCAAGAATGAGATTGTGAAGCATGTGGTGCAGCAGCATCAGCAGATGCAGGAGCAAATGCAGGAGCAGCAGCAGCAACAGCAGCAGCAGCAGCAGCAGCAGGTGCAACAGCAAGTGCAACAGCAAGTACAGCAGCAGCAGCAACAAGTGCAACAGCAGCAACCTCAGCAGCAGCAACAGCAACAGCAGCAACAAGTGCAAGTGCAGCAGCAACAGCAGGTGCACAAGTTCATCGATGAGCTGACCAAATCCACCTCGGTGGTAACCAGCAATGGAACGAGCGAGCCGGCTCTGTTCACCACCTCGGCGGTGATCGATCACGCTCTAACCGACATCCTGCAGGCCAAGGTGGGCATTGCACCGCCGAACGTGGTGCTCGAGCGGAGTTTGTCCCTGAGCTCCACGAACTCGAGCAGTTCGCTGAGCGGGAGCGAGCCATCGCCGAACAGTTCACCCCTTACCCAGGATATCATACTCAACTCGGAGCCGGCGGCCGCTTTGGCTGGAGCCGCTGCTCTGGGCGGACCGCCGCCGGTGGACGTGACCGGTGGCCTGTCCACCGACATCATCATGAATCCCGCCGTCTCACCCTCGACGATTCTGTGCTCGGCCAATGGCGCCGCCACCGCGGTGGTGCCCAACATCCTGGCACCCCACCAGGTGACCATGGCCAATTCGATCCTCAATGATATTGCCATGCAGCCGGAGCCCACTCAGCAGGATGCGGCGGTGGCCGCTCTGGCGCTGAGCAACATCATGATGAGTCCGCCGACGGCGGCAACGGGAGTTGTGGGCGTGGTCGATGCACTGCCTCCGACTCCGGTGGCCATGCAACCGGAGGTGGCAGCCACAGCCACTTCGACGGCGGTCAGCAACATGATCATCAAGGCAGCGGCCGATTTTATAACCACGCAAGAGCAGGAGCAGCACCACTACCATCATCATGGTCGCGTCCACTCGCATTCACCGCAGGCGGCCGTCGGTGTGAGCGGCAATCCCGCCGAGACGGCAGCCGATCCGCTGGTGAACCTCCTGCTGAACCACTCGACCACACCGGAAACTGCGGCTGCAGCAGCTGCGGCCGTTGCCGTGGAAGCGGCCAACTTCCAGTCGCTGGGTCACAGCCATCATCCGCACCATGGCCACCATGGTCACGGTGGCCATGGTCATGGACATGGACGCGTTGCGGGTCACGTGGCGAGCCACCATCATGGCCACCATTTGCCGGTGGTGCCGCCGACACCACAAGAATCTCTGATCGTTGCGCTGGCCAGCGAGAATGCGCTGCAGAAGTCGGTGGCCACCGCCGCGGTGACCACCAATGGAGCGGTGATGACGCAACAGGCCTCCGCTCCGAACACCGCCGGCAGCATCCTCCCAGCGGCCGTGGGCGCGGTGGCAGCAGCGGCCGCCGTGGCGGTACAGCCGCCCATTCCCCAGGAGCTGACCACGATGTCCGACCAGGATCTGATCAGCTACATCAATCCGAGCACCTTCGATCAGAGTGAGTGCCCAAGAATGTGAATGCGAATCGATAGAATGCATTGTTTTAACCTGATTTAATAACCAGAAATCAAAAGGAAGCCAATTAATGTACCTACTTATTATTATATTTGCCTTTTAAATGCATTCTATCTGTTGAACTTTCATTATCTTTATAATATTATATCCATCTACTCTTGTTTTATCCAACTAATAATGAATCTTGTTTCCCTTTCTTTCAGTTTAAACGGCTTCAGATCAACAAATTAAACTACGTGGACTTGTTTTTTTTTTAAATAACAATAAATGTCACTCCTAAACAGGCTTAGTCTTAAGTATAAATGTAGTATATAGAAAACACAAACACACACACACACACACTCGATTTAGACGGATTAAAGGTTTCAATGTGGACCAACTTTTTGACCAAACGGATTGACTAAAACCAGGAGAGCAAAATGAAACCCACTATAAAACACAAAACACACATTAGTAGCTTTAACTTTGTTTACGTTTAGGAATAAACCCTACTTTAAATGAATGCCTACATTAATTTTTTTTTTTTTTTTTTTTTTTTTTGCTATTTTAATATTGATTTTTGAATATAATAATCAACTTATCTCAAAAGGTTAAATTAAACGACTGCCATATACCTACGAAATAAAAATGAACTCCCGAAAGTGAAGAACTAAAACGGAAAATTAAGAATTCAAATATCAACCTTAAAAATCAAAAATTAAAGAAAGAACCAACTTTCAATAAAAAAAAAAAATGTTGATTACACTTTTTGTTGGAAGAAACCCTATTTTTCATTATGAAGTCTGATTTGTAAACTTCCTTTTTATTTGTTTGAGAATTTAAGATATACTTTATATAATAAAAGCCAAGCTGCACGTCTTGGCGTTAAAAGTTAAGCTAAATTAATTTTTGGGACAAACAACACAAAACAAAAAACACACAAAAAGAAATTATGATTATACAGTTAATAATTTATAAACAAAAAGTACATATTATGTGTAGCTACGAATATAATGAATATGCGAGAAATTCCAAAAGACTTTTTGATTTAAAGAAAATGCAATTATTATTTTGTTTATGGTTTAATCATTTTATTTTAAATTATATTGAAGGAACCCACAAATAAAGATGTAACTAATGTTATTACTATTACTATAATTATATCGCTATTATTATGCATACCCTTAATGTTGATAGTTGTTATGTGTAGCGTTGTAAGTCGATATCAGATTTATCCTAGCCCCTAGCCCTTTTAACCACTACGAAATTAAGAACCTACAAATCTGAAAATAAGAATGAACAAACCAACAACCAAACCGCTTTGAGGAAAAAACACGATTTAGAATATTATTGTACCGATTAACGATTAAATGAACTTCAACACTTGTTACGACTACCCAAAAAAAAAAAAAAAAAAAAAAACAAGATCGAGAGAACTCTGCATTTGAATGCCCAATAACCAAACTACAAACTATTTATAAAAATTTACAAATATTCCAACCACGAATTTCGCCCACTCCCAAGAATCGAACTAACTGAGAACCTATAAAATTAAATGTTTTTTTTTTTTTGGTATTAGCTTGATACATTTTAAACAATTTGATTGACATACGTAATCTAGATGTTGATAAAGTCGATAAATGTGTTAACCAATCTCAGAGATTGCATATTCCTCATTAAATTAAATGTTACAGTCGAGTCAATGAACGACAGAGATAGCGATACTAAGTGCAAGTGAGTAAGAGAGAGAGACAGAGAAACAGAAAGAAAGCGAGAGAGAGAGAGAGAAAGAAAGGGATAGAAGAACCCGCGCTTAAGAATTGTTAGTGTTAAATGTTATACACCTATATATACATTATTTATGCTATATATACACACATATATCTAACTTTACAATGAATAAAATGAATGTATTTTTGATGTTCTTATTGCCCAAAGTGCAGAACCGAGAAACAACTGAAACTCCTGAAGAAAACAACTCCCAGAACTTTGTAACCGACCATTCAAACGTATCAATTGACGAAATTGCGAACCCCAAATTCACACCATCCCAAATTGTCTAGGAATGCCTAGATAATCCCTACAGAAACCATATTTATCTGCTCGTTATCTCTTTTTATGTGAATAAAAAATGAAATCTTTCAAAAAGAAACCAGTTGTTATTCCTATAAATATATATGAAATAAAAACAATTGAGGTAAGATATATTAACAATTTATTAGCTATACCAAAAATAGTATCTATAAATATAATTATAAATCTTTAAAAAATGTAACGACTAGATAAAAGATTGCATGGGCACGAGCACACCCTTTTGCACTGATTGATGAATCCAGGCAGAGTTTAAAACCTTTTCTGCACCCAAGTTGGATTGGTTTTGCAGCCAGTTCTCAAAGTGATCTTTATCCAGGTCCGCGGACATGCAGCGGAATCCCAGATTCAATTGCGGATCGGATTCGTCGACCAACTTGCCGCCGTTTTGCAGAAACAGAATCTTGCTCAATTCATCGCCCTGCGGATTGTAAAATAAAGCGTGGAAATCACGGAAAATGTTAAGGCTTTTCCTCCCCTTCAGCAGTTGATCCTCCAGAGCATTAAGTTCAGATGTGGAGGCCACTGCTAAATCCTCATCCACCAATTCAATGTCCTGGAGCAGTTCCTTCAACTCATCGATGCTTTCAATATCCTTGTTGTAGCTATCGCCCCACCCATCGAAGCACTCGGCCAGTTGCTCTTGCAGTGGCTTGGTGGCCGCCATTAGATCCTTGGGCCGCAGCTCGAGCGCCTGCTTCTGGCAGACCCTTAGCAGCCAATCCATGCGCACAATGTCACAGGTACGCGGCTCCTGCAGAATGAGCCGCTTGACCAGAAACGTCTCATCGCCGGCAATGCAAAAGCAAGTGGGATCATTGGGCAGCGGATTCTCAACGATGGAGCCACCGTTTGTGGCGGCCAGCTCTTGCAACTGCTTCTTACTCTGCCGCCCAGCCGCTCCACTCAGAATGCAGAAGCTCAGGCCATCGAACAGTTTGGAGCTGCTCGTGGAGGGATCCACGCCGCAGCGCTTTTCGTAGACCGCCAATGCCAGGCGACTTCTCTCCGAAGGAGTCATTCGCATCTGCTTGCGCTTGGTCGTCACATCCTCCATTCGCAGCTGCCGCTTGTTAAGCTTCTTGATGGCCGTGCCACCTCCGCAGAGATCATTGAACTCCTGGAGTGTCATGCAATCGTTCCAGGACTTGTCATCGCGCTTCATTTCGGTGCGCGCAAAGTGCAGTGATTTGCGGGTGAAAAATGCCGCGTTCGGAGTCAAATCCGCGGCCTTCACCTGTAGTATGATTGAGTTTTGTGGATCGATCCACAGATCGGGACATCCGGCACGTTCAGTCTCCTTGTAGTGAAACCACAATGGCGGCGGCTCCTTCACAACATCATGCCAATGTGGCTTTAGTGTGTGATTCAGAACTCCGCGTTGTTTCGTATTGTTGGTCACCACACCGATGCTGAAGACCTCGGGGCGAGTGGTGCTACCCGGCGGCGCTGGCTGGAGAACGCCCAGCAAAAAGGATTCCACAAAGGTGCGCTTGCGATTGTAAAAAGCGCCAATAATCAGCACATCAAACTCCGTGATCAAGCCCTTGATGTACTGGGGAAAACAATACATGAGTAAGGATAGGAGGAACTAGATAAACAGTACTCACATCGGCCTTGTCCTTGTACCAGCCACCGCCCAATCGCACGCCAGGTTGATACTTAGATCCCTGCTTCTTCAGCACAATGCCCTCGGCATGGGAATCGAGAGCCTTCTGGAACAGTTCGTTGAACTCCTCGACGGAGCCGATCTTTCGAGCACGCATTAACTGTAGCACGCCGGGTTGCTCCACAATCATTTTCTGCAGCTTGTAGGCTCGGTGGATATATGTGTGATCCAACAGACTCTGGCCATTAAAGTACAGCAGATCGTAGATCACGAAGCAGGGCTGCCAGCTGCCCTCCGGCTTCAGACTCTTTACGTCTGTGTTCTCGCCCTTTTCGCGAAAGCGCTTTTGGTTTGTGTCCCACACCATCATCTCGCCATCAAGGATAATGGACTGCAATCCGAGCGGCAGCAGGCCCCTCAACTTCGGTGTCAAAGTGCCGCGATCGTAGCTGTCGCCAAAGTTCCGGGTGTAATCAACGCCATTCCGAGAGATGTACATGAAGCGTCCCTTGTCGATGTGCAGCTGGAACCGCTCACCATCCATTTTGGTCTCCAGATAGAGCACATCCGACTGCATCAGCTCCTGGATATCACCCGGAAATCGTTCGCACAGCATTGGCCTTATCTGATGGAATGGCCGGATGACGGCATTCAGGTTGACGAACTTCACCGCTGCCTTGCTATCCGTGCTGGTGTCTAAATCGCTAGGTTTGTCCGCCAGCAGATTGCACACATGTCCCAGGTCGGAGCAGCGCTGGTAGATATCCTGCGCTTTGGGGTGCAGCACCCCGAAAATCTTCTGCTCCCCGATACCTAGACCAAGGCTTTTTAGCAGCAGACGGATTAGCCATTTCTGCTCCTCGGGTGAAGCCTGCTCCGTGAACCGGATGAGCTGCTGCTTCTTGACTGGAATTACACAATTTACAAATTGTGTTGACATTAAGGTTGTGTTCAGAGCCCCTACTTACCTTCCGTGTCTTCATTGGCAATGGTGTCCAGCATCTCGTGGATGTGCTTCAGCCGCAAATCGCTGGGTGGATTGAAGCACCTCGGCTTGAGTACGGCATAGACAACATCGCCATAGTCCCGGTACATATTTGCAGTTCGATGTTGCAAGTTGATGGCATCGCTGGCTGAAAGGAAAACAAAGAGAATCCATTAAGAAGACAAAAAACCAAACAGTTCGGTAGAGCGCCCACTTACAATCGACGGGCAGCTGGAGAACCCGAATGTAGAGCCTGCCCAGTGCCGTGATTTGTAGTCCGTAGGTATCGCGACCCGTGTCTGCCCCCGGAAGCAGAAGTCGCAATACGGAATAGAAGCTACTTGCTCCACTCTCCGGCTGGTCATCGGTCAACCCGGTTTGCTGGCGAAAGGATTCCCGATGTCGGCAGAAGGACTCGTAGTAGCTCTTGAGGATCTCCTCCTTGTTGACCACCTTTTTGGTGGCCTTTAGCTTTTCGAACAGGTCACATATGTCCCGAAACTTGATCGTGCTAGCTATATCTACGCTCATTTTGTTGATTATTCGTAGACAACAATTTCATCATTTGAAAACACCTAGTTAGTGTGACCAAAGTTCTTAAACAAAGTCTATTTAATTGAGAGGTAACATTTAAAATCTTATAATTTAAAAATTAAACCTTTATTTTAGGGGCCCAAATAAAGGACACCAATTACAAATATAATTAAATACAAATTTATTAACATATAAATAATTACGGAAAATTTAAAATCACTAAAACACCTTCTTGTTGAAATACTGATTGCTTGGTCTGCTTATCGAATTAATTTATCGACATATAGTGATCGCTACCAAAAGCGGGAAAGTTCTGCTCATTTGTTGTTTACATTCAATTCACGTTTGCAAATTTTACGGGGTAACATGAGCAAAAAGGGAACGCGAATGAGTAAGCCAAAACCAGATCCGGATGCAGAGGGATCTGGCAAGAAGACCACAGTCACGGCTCTGAAAAAAGTCTTGTTCGTGTCCAAAGAACTGCTGCCTAACGATTCCGACGATAATCGCCTCCGACTGGAGAGGTTCTTCCACCCGGGACAGGGAAAGGATGCCATGTTCGTTACCCGTCCCGATGGCCAGATGATGGAGCTGCTAGAATACGCGGAACCTCGTCGCAGCTGGCTGGTAAACAGCGAGGTCTGCTCCAATGGCAGGATCTACATGACCTCCCCAACGGATCCAACGCTTCTGGCCCTCCATCACCTCCGAAAACACTGTGGCCAAAGTACGACATAGTTGACTAATTAGTTGTCTCATTTAAGCATTTATTTCAATCACAATAATTTTATTTACCTTTATTTACCAGGAGCAATGTCGCTGGACAACATTGCCGTGGAAGAGGCCAACACAAGTCGCCTGCTCACCGAGTTCCTGAATTCAGACAGTCTTAAGTGCGTGGCGGATGTAAAGAGTATTGGTGACCAGAAGTTCTACAAGTACAACCAAGAACGAACGTTGGCCTGGCTGGCTCTAAAAACGCGCCAGGTGGCAGCAGTCTTAAAGGAAAAACAAATCCACTGCGGGCACAGTGCTCAATCACAGAATTTCGTGCGCAGCGAAAAGTTGGAGACAGAAAACACCACCAACGAAATGGACTACACACGTATGGCCTGCGATGTTGTGGGTCGCTATTTGGATGTCGATCTGCATGATCTGCTAACAAGATATCTGCAAATTCCCAGCGAGATTCAGGCGATTGTCGAAGAGAAGGCAGCTGCCCAAAAACGAAAGTCAAAGGCGGGCAAGGACGAGGGCAGCGAATCCAAGAAAATCAAGCTGAACGACAGCGATGTTACCGCTAAACTGAAGAGCAGCGGTCTGGTGGACAGCGATCATGATCCCAATTCGAGTATAACATCACCAACTCCGGTTCCGCTGAAGGAGCGCTCGCTGACCGCCAAAGAAAAGGCTCTGGCCAAGGGAGCCAAGGGAACTAAGAGCATCGCCTCATTCTTTAAAGTGAAATAGCTTTAAGTTTCTCATAATCTAAGTGTAAGTTATTATTTTTGCTCACGTTTAATAGCCGTTTAATTCAATTGCATACACTCTTATGGCCACTAATTTTTTATTAAAACCTTAAATTAAATTTTACATATAAAAAATAATAATTAAGCCTGGATTTAAAAAACCGCGCGCCAAGAGCTCATGCGCTTTGTGGTTTATCTCTCCGCTACCCGCTAGAAAAACATTGTCAGCTGTTGGGGTTGCCAGGGCGAATAAAAAATTTCAATGCATACTATTAGGCTATATATTATAAGTTTTTGGGTTGTAGAAGTTTTTAAAAGGATCTTTTTATTTCAGGAAAACTATTTGACTTCAGAATCAACACCGAAGAATGTATAGTAGATTTTTATTTATATTTTAATCTCTGTAAAGGATTTCAAGCCCCAAGAGATTTTTTTTGTCATTTTTCTCGATGGGTGGCAGTCCTGGCTGACAGTTAAAATGCTGCTGGCTCCTTTGTTACCGTTTTTTCGCTCAGTTGTTGCTGTGCGCGCTCCCACGTCCGAGGCTAACGGTGAATTCCGCTTTGCACTGTGATTCGCATTTCACCACCCCCGTTTTCCACCTAACCCCCGCCTTCCGCATATCCTGCTGCTACTGCTGTTGTTGTTGTTTTCTATATGCCTCAAAAACTTCGGTTTAACGGCAAATACAAGGGCATTACTTGCACATTTGTAATATTTTGGTTGTTTTACTGTCCTGTGTTTTAAAATTAAGTTATAAACGGCAAGAAAAAGAGTGGCGTCACACGAAAAGAAAATTTTCTTTGGCGTCGTCGAGCTGACTGTGTATGTGTGTGAGCTGGTGCTCTCTTGAGTGACTGTGTGTGTGTAATAAAATAAATAATAAAACATTTAGTAAGCAACAAATTCTCTCTTCTCTGCAGCAGCAGCAACAACAATCGCAACGCACAAAAGCATGCTACGCTAAATTGCATTTGGCGTCTGTCAAGGACAAAACAAAGCGCTGTTGTGTGAGTGCAACCACAACAACAACAACAACAAGGACAACAACAGCATGTGGCACAAATAACGGAACTGCAAAAGTATCAACAGCAAAAAATAGAAAAAATAGATAGGAAAACAAAACAAAAGGCAGGAACAAATCACACACGAGGGCCAAAAACAAAACGGAGGCTGCAAAAAAAGAAAAACGAAAATAAGGGGAGAGGCAAACACACACCTCCGCCCCCTGCTCCCCAGGACATTTGGCGCCAGCTTGGGCAGCGACTGCGACTGAGGCAGAAAACCATGTGGTTCCATCCCTTTCCCTCTCACGCGGCCGTGCTGCAGTGGCTCCTGCTCTCCTTTGTCCTCCTCTTCTCGCTGCTCCCAGCGAACGTGAGTACCGTTCATCAATGTTGCAAGCACACAAAGTAAACACAAAAACAACAACAAATGTAGGGCTAGTTAGTATATTTAACCCTAGAAACGAACCTAGAAAGTAACTTGATGGAGTTTACTTATATATTACTTCTTAAAATTTTTAATTTCGTTTAATTCTTAAGCATATTTACCCTAGTTCTCAAAAAGATCGTGAAATTGTATTGTTATCTGCCATATAAAAAGTGGGCTTTTAATAGTATTCAATGATTAAAGCTTGATGATTAAATTATGCAAAACAGCACTCACTTCAAATAAGTAAAAAAGCATTTATTTAAATACCTGTTAAATACAAAAGTTACTTTATATGTTTTTACCTTAAAACTGATTCCATAAATAAACGCAATCACATCAATGTTGCATGCACCTGTGCATTTTAATTTGATTGCGTTTGCATTCCCAACGGCAATAAATGCATTAAACATTTCCGCTTTTTTCGCATTGCAAAACACTCAAAGTAATATAAACAAAAAAACAATGGCATAATACAATTGGGGCTCACTATAAACTACTAAAAATTGTGCCTTTTTAAATGCTTTTAAAAATCCTTTAAAAATTTCCCATTCATTATTTTCACCTTATTATTTTTTTTTTTATCAAAAATTCTCTTTTCTTTAACTGTATTATGGTGAGGTGTGGTTTGTTTTGTTTATTTTGTGGGGCCCAGCGATATTGACAATGACATTTTTATTAGCCATGCCCTGCCCATTAACCGCTGTGACAGAAAACTAATTGCTGCACAGAAAGAATATCTATTAAATTGGCATTAACATCAGAAATAGACAGCAATAACAATAACCACAAATAAAATATTTTTACTTGACCACTTGTAAAAAATTGTTTGATTCATTTGTTCCATTAAACAGAACTTTAAATTTATAAATTATAAATTATTTATTTATTATTTTTTAGGTGACGGCTAGATTTTGTGAGGGCTGCAGCCAGGGCTGTTGCACGCAGGGCTGTTGTCCGCCGTACCAGGGCGGGCCACGCCCCCTGCCACCGCCCTCGGACTCCCACGTTCTCAACTTGTTTTTCGCCACCCACTGGTTCTTTTGGTAAGTAAATTATTTGTGGAGAACAACACTCTCATTAATTTACAACAAGTATATCAGATATAAAGTCATTTTTGAAAGAGGTTTCAAAAAGCTTAAGGTCATCTCTAATTTATTTATTTGCTGAAAACCGAAACTTCGAATAGCTAAACATTTTATTGGCACTCCAAATAGTTTTGGAATCTAATTGTTTTAACTTAAGTAAGAGTGATTTATTACAACGATAGTATCTCTATGGCCATGGTCATGGTTGCATTTGCTTTTTCGTTGATTTTTTTTTTGGGGATTCCCCGGAGGTCGACTGCAAGGCCGTTCAGCCGAGGGAGGGGGCGGTTGTGGGGAATGGTGGGCTTGGGGTCGTGGGCTTTTCGGGTCGGACTTCCAGCTGATTGGCATTGTGTGCCATGCGAGATATTATTATTATTGGCAGCAAAGGTGGCGCCCAGCGCCGAGGTTGCGTCAAGTCAAAAGTCAAGTCAAGTCGAGAGGCTTATGCAAGCTGTGTATATAGTCCCCAAGCCCCTCAGTTCCCCTACCCCCTACCACCGCCCCCGTCCCCCGAGCCCCACTCATACCGCCACCCTTGGGGGGCCGTGGAAAATGGCAATGCCAACTAATGAGACACAAACGGAACCCGCCCGCCGCCACCCTGCTCATATAATCCCATCTCTCGGCCGCCGAAAAGGCAAACAAATTTCAGTCGGAATTCGATTACGGCCACAGCAGGACACGGATCCGTGTCCGTCTTCCTATACGTATCTGTAAACGTATCGGTGGCATCGGCATCCGGATGTGGATCCGCATTCGAATCCCAATCCGAATCCGAATCCGGTCAAATGGGCTTCTTCATTCAGTCGCGCCAGCTGCAAACGGAGCAGTAAACGATCCGCCAATTTACACGAAGGATTTATCAGCTACTTAACTTTCGATCCGGGTTTCCGCTGCAACTTCAATGCATTTTATTTAGTTTATAAATATTAATGAAAAAAAACCTTCGGTTATTTATAAAAATAATTGGTGCCATTTAACAACTTGTTCTTAGCCAAATAAAATAAAATAAAAAACAGAAATTAAGCTGAAAAATCAATTCAATAATTATGTTTTGGTTATATCGTATGAAATATTTATTAATCCAATTCATTTTTTTCTCCTAAGGTGCGTGGTTGTGGCCATTATCCTGGCCATCCTGTGTGCCTATTCGCTATGGAAGAAACGAAGGACTCTGTGTGGCTGGGGATTCAACGAGCATCACACCCAATCCGAGGGCGACTCCGCCGGCTCCTGCTACGCGCCCCCGCAATATAGTCGCTGCAACTCGTTCCATCATCCGCCACCACCTTACACGGAGGTAAGCAATCCACAACCCCATCAAATCGGTTTCTAAATGGTAAATAGTAGTAACACAAATGATTCAAACCAGCTTTTACTGAATCATAATATTGCATTCATTCAGTATATATCTTCTGACAGCGATATTAAATATTTGATTCCCGTTTTGTAGGTCACCTCCAAACCGGATCTGTACCCGCTCGTCTTCACCTGCAACAGCGACTCGGGTAATGGCAAGGGCAACGGCAGCTCCAGCTACCTGATGGTCCAGTACTTCCGGAACTACATTGTCCGCCCGGCGGCCGGGGGATCCCTCAGTGCGGCCAGCACCGTGGACTCGCTGAGCTCCAGCTTCATTTGCAACGCGAACGAGGCCAACACCCTGGTGCCGCCACCGTATTCCCGGGCAGCCAGTCCGGAGCTGGGACTGCACCACTATGTGGCGCACGCCCATGCCCATGGACACGGCCACAGCAGCCACCTGCGGTCCATGGAGCAGGCCCAGGCGCCGCACCAGGTGGCGGCCAGTGCTCCGCTGGCCTCGGTGCACTACGCCATGCCGCGATCGGCCTCCCAGCTGGTGGAGCCGGATGTCTACCAGCCGCGACTGATGCCCTCGGCCCAGCAGGCGCAGCACTATGCCACCGTTGCCCTGGGCAGTGCCCCCGGTGGTGGGGCGCTCTACAGCACCCGGTTGCATGCCTCGCACGAGGAGGGAGTGGGCGTTGGAGTGGGTGTGGGCGTGGGCGTGGGCGTGGGCGTGGGCGTGGGCTACCTCCAGTCGCAGAGCGATCAGCACTTCCGGTACATGGCGAACAGCAGCAGCAGTCTCAGCGACATCTTCGTGAACAACAGTTGTGTGGCAGGTGGGTATCCTAATATAGATAGTATATGGATTATAGATTACAGATCCTGTTCCTCAAAGCAAGGAAATCAAAGCAAGAATATCTATTTAAACAACTAATCATATGTATCAGAGATTTCTTATTGTCTTCCTTGTTTTTAAACTTCTTTAAACAAATTCAAAATGAAAACTAAATAGTAATTACATTCGTGTTGCAGGAATGCTGCCCGAGAGTGGAGGAGCTGGAGGCGCCTCGCAGGGCGCGGAAAGTGGAGCGGCGACGCAGGCCGCCTCGCTGAACAGCCTGGCGATGGGCGGCCTGGGTGAGTCACTGGCCGGTGGCACCGTCGGCGGAGGAGGAGCCTCCGGGGGATCGGGATCGGGACCGGTGATCTACAGCAACGGCTGCATCCAGCCGAATCCGCTGCACAGCCTGGAGAACTGCTGTCCACCCTCCACCCAGGTGTCCGGGGTGAGCAGTCTGGCCAACATTGGGACGCCGGGATCGCCGCCACAGGCGACCAGTCCGACGGGCGAGGTGCGCGAGATTCTCGACCAGATCCGCCAGCTGCAGGCGGGCGTCAGCTACGAGCAGCTGCTCCTCGGCGGCCAGGGAGCGAAGCCGCGGCTGCAGCACACCCTGTCGACGCCATCGAACTCGCAGCAGATGCTGCAGCCCATCCTAACCACATCCGCGTCCGCATCGATTTCCGGCGGCAGCGGCATTGGAACCAACAGCAGCAGCACCACCAGCACCACCACCGGCACCACCGGCCGCAGTAAAAAGTTCTTTGCATCCGGCGGCAAAGCGCAGCCGAACAAGGCTCTGTACATCCCGATGGCGGCCATCGGGGGATCGGGATCCGGCTCGGGTGCCCAGCGATGTGTGCTGAAGAGTCCGGTGAGCAGCGTGGTCAGTGGAGCCAGCTTCTTTGTGAACCGCGGGCGAGTGGCCCGCAAGGGTTGGATCACCAGATCGGCGCCCACGACTCCGGGCAGTGCCCTGCCGCCGAATCGACTGGGTGACGACAGTCCTCTGCTGCTCAACGAGCACGATGAAGATGCCATCGACGACGACGACGATGAGGAGGAGGAGGAGCACCAGCAGCAGCAGCATCACCTCCACCTCCACCACAACCAGCAGCAGCAGCAGCAGCAGCACCAGCCAGCTCAGAGTCGGGATAACGAGAGCGACACGGAAACGGAGGCGGAGGCGGAGGCCAGGAACCATCATCGCCAGCAGCGCCATCAGCGCGCCGGACATCGCAGCCATCGTCGTGGACAGCTTGAATAATAGTGGGCGTGGTCGTTGCAATCGCCAGTGTCATTTAGTAGTTGTTGTTGTAGCTCAAGGTTCTCCTTTAGGAATAAGCTTTTAAACGAACAGTGGAGAAATGTTTGGGAGCCGGCAGCACGCTTCTTAGTCTGATGGAAGAAAGCCCCGGAAAGAAGATAGATGAGGCAAATCTACGGTCGGTTAACTTTTAGTTTCGTTTGCAGGACCAAAAGGTTCTTTAGATTTTTGCAAGGCAAAACATTTTAAAACATTCCTTAAACCATTATTGTAAAGTTTCATTAGATTGTTTAGTTTCATTAGATTGTTTACTTTCATTAGATTGTTTCATTTCTATGAATTTTAAACATTTTTTGAACCTACAGAGTAAAATCAAATTCTTAGACAAGCTTAACAAAAATGTTTTTAAGTTTTAAAATCAAATTCTAATTTGTTAAATTAGTTTGAAATGAGAAAGCAGTTCAAGAAGTCGGTTAATTTTAAGATTATAGAATAGGCCATAAATGTTTTGTGAAATTTTAAACTGAATGAAAGGCGCTGAGGACAGACGTTGAACTTAAATATAACAATAACCAAGAGTTCTGACAATAGATCAATAAAACTTACCATTTTTTCATCAATCAGTATTACAAAGAAAACCAACCAAAGTAAATCATTATCTATATCCCATTTCTATTCAAGTAAAAATGTTTGTTGAGCTTCCGTGGTTAGATAAATGATTTAAATATACACATAGCTATTATTAGGTTCAGATAGTTTAGCAATTGAATCTACTTTAAAAATTCTTGTGAAAGCTGGACAGGTTTCAAAACATCCAAAAATACCAATTTTCAACTTTTACTGATTTAAATTCATAAATTTAGACCTAAATTGTTGTCCGGTGATTTAAAAAAGTCATTTCAAACTTCGAACACACTAAAACAAACAAGAAATGATATTATTTTTAACCAAAACTGCTTGAAAACTTTTTAAAACGAAAATTGCACAAAAGATTTAAATCAATCTAGGTTAAAATATAAAAATAATAAACCAATGAAAACAAAAAGAGCAAAAAAATTCAAAAGAAAAGAGTCGGATTTGTCGCCTAGATGGAGATTTTGTAAGTAACTAGATGTTAAGAACTTGTTCACACACAAATAATGCAAACACGTCACGTACAGATACAGATACAGATACAGATACAGAAACAGATACAGATACAAAGATACAGATACAAAGATACAGATACTTCGGCTTGGGGAAGTCCTTCTGAAACGCTTAGAGTTATGTGAAATACGCGAAACTGTGCAGGCATTCGGTTGGAATTTAAGGCATAAGCACTAGACGGAGAATCTAAATTAAATTATATTTAAACGTAAAATTACCAAATGAGACTAAGGGGTTACGATCCGGGGGCTAAAATGGAAAAGTTTGAATGCAGCAGTGCCTTTTCAACCTTATAAACCACAACCAAAAGAGCGCAACATACAAAAATTGAGACATTTTAAAAAAGGGAACCAGTCGAAAAACAAAAAAAAAGATCGAACGCATCCACAGACAGACAGAAAACAATCCAATAAACGAGGCAATATTTATAAATCTGCTTAAGCATTAGATTATATGAGATAAATACCCAGATGTGTATGCGACAATTACTTTATGTGAATTTTACAATTCATTGTCATTTTCTTGGGCGGTTTCGCCGGGTCCTTTATCGATCAGTTAGCTATTCTGGCTTATTTCAACACGATCCAGTTCGAATATCTGTGCTTCAATACACATAACTATATAATTATACAATTAATTAATTAACTAGCAAAGCGAAACTGAAGGCGTTCAAGGCATACAAAGGTCTCCAAAAGCAAGTGAATTGTTGTAAAGTCGGATAACATAAACCAAAGTAAATGAAACGAAAACCAAACCGAAAGAGAACTAAGAACCCAGTTTAAGTCAAATATACAAAGATGGAAAATAAAAACAATAAATCAAAGAGATAAGCTAAAGCCTTTCAATGGATATATTTGTATGAATTTATTTTGTTGCCTACTTTTTGGGGTGCTTAGTTTAGTTTTTCAATTCCTACATTTCTTACAATCTCCTATAATCTACAATCTCCTATATAGTTCAAGATATTTTCTCCTACTGCACCAAAATTTTATTAAAATCGGACCACCTGCTAAAAAAAAAAGATAAGATGTCTTGACCACTAAAAAAGATTTCTGATTGTTTCTTTTTTTGGCACGAAAGTTTGCTTTCAGAACTTGCATATTAATCTCCCCCGGGGCTTGAACTTTGAATCAGTGAGATTTACGAAAACTCTAAACAGCAAACCGTAACCTATATATAGACTTACGCCTTATCTTGGTACAATAGTAATGCTTGGCATTAATCTGCCATCGACGGCGAAGGAATTGATAAGCTGACTAGATTTCTAAATTCGAACGTAATGCTAATCAGCCTTCACTCTCATATATATAATTTAATCGTAAAGAATTCTGAGGGGGCAGAAAGTTATAGCTTGGACTAACTGATCCTTCTGATGAGCTACTGCATGGCATTTCTAAAGTTTGAACTGAATTGCACTTTTAAAATATATCCCATTAATTTTATAAAACTTCATTAGTTTTTGTATACTTATATTATTTTTGATAAGTTTTTTTGCCATACATTTCTCTAATGATATGAAACAGTTTTATAGTTCGTAATATCCCATTATGTATATTTGCTTTATATAGATGATCATATGAATATGAATTTACCTGAACCCATGAAAGCCACTTTGTGTAGGGCATCGCGGGATCGAAGAAGCAACTTTAGAGAGTGGTAAGTGAACCGCGGCAATTAGTTTTCGCCCAGAACTTGACCACAATGGACACCTTGCTGGCTGGTTGGACTCGGTCCGGGGATTTCCTGCAGGATCGCTGGACTGCGCTGTTGGACATCGTGGGTGAAGATCCGTGGAGACTGTGGGTGGGGGGCAGCACGGTCGTCATCTTCGTGGTGTATTGGCTCTATGCGGGCATCTTCACCCTGATGGACATCACGAACCGTCCGCGCTTCCTGCGCAAATACAAGATCCAACCGGGTCAAAATGAGCCAGTGGACTTGGCCAAACTCTGGAATGCCGTCAAGGTGGTGCTCCTCAATCTGACGGTGGTTAACTTCCTGGCTTGCTGGGCGGTTTATGAGCTGGTTTACAGGACGGAGAACAGCGGCGATATTCGGGTGCTGCCCACCTTCAGGAGGGCTCTCCGGGATCTGGCCGTCTTTGTGGTTCTGGAGGAGATCATGTTCTACTACGCCCACCGCCTGCTGCACCACAGATCGGTGTACAAGCATGTCCACAAGAAGCACCACGAGTGGACGGCACCGATTGCGGCCATTACCCTGTATGCCCATCCGGTGGAGCATGTGGTGGCCAATCTGCTGCCGGTGGCCACCTCCATTGCGATCCTGGGCACCCATGTCGCCCTGGCCTACGTCATCTTCGCCCTGGCCATCGTCAACTCGATGAGCGATCACACGGGCTACAGCTTTCCCTGGTCGGCGGGATCGGTGCGGTTCCACGACTACCACCATGCCAAGTGGGTACCACCAGGCCAGGTGTTCCTCGCTCCCTTACATAACTATTATGCTAACTCTCCTCCTCCTCTTGCAGATTCAACTACAACTACGGGGTGCTCGGCCTGCTGGACAAACTGCATGGCACCTATCGCAGTCCTGCCGAGCAGAGGAGTCCTGCATCGAGGATTAGAAGCAAGCCCAGCAAAAGGAAATCCAAATAGTCGCTTTGATTATTACTTTTCTTGCAAAAAACTAGCGACCATATTTAAAATAGTAACTCAGCAATTCCTTTTTTTTTTCTTATAAATAAAATATATTTAAAATACAGATAATCAAAAGAATAATTAAAATAAAATCATTTTTTTTGAATCAGTTAAAAAGTAATGCGAACCAAAACCAAGCTTTAGGCCCAAAAAATGTGTGAGATTTCCAATCAATTGGCAAAAAAGGAAAGGGGGAAATACCCTCTGCAAGGATTTTAAAATCGTATATTCAAATCTAAATACTTTGAAGTAACTGATTCGCCGTTATCGATTATCGGTCATCCCTATTGCTAGCCAGCATGACCGTTTCCCCCCAAATGTCAGACGCACTTTTCACTGGAATTTATAGGCCAAGTGGATACGGGCACACCGAACGAAACGCAACTCGGAGCAAGAAAATCGACGTTAACTTTTTTGATCAATTACAATAGGAAAATCCGGCCGCAGATCGCAAGTGCCCTTATCGCCCCCTTGTCACGCCCACTGCCGCCCACGCTGCCACTCCCCCTGTCGCGGGGTCACATCTATAGAGAGCGCTGCGTGTGTGTGTGTGTGAGAGTGTTCGAGGAAGAAAAAGAAACAAGAAGAAAAAAAATACAGGCAGCGAAAAGCGATAAGAAACAGAACACACTGGAAAAAACGAATGCGATAAGCAACAGGGCAAGCGGAAAAAGCACAGATTCTGGGATGGATTAGCAGCACAGCTTGCGTGGATTGTGTGGTCAGCCAACAGTGGGATCTGGGTCAGAATCGAGTTCGGGATTGGGATCAGGATCAGGAGTAAGATCAGCCATCATGTCATCCGCGGTGGACATCCAGATCGTTTCGATGCCCAATCTGGCCAAGATTGAGAGCTTTCTCAAGGACGTCAGCTACCGGGAGACGATCGAGTACAGTGCAAACTTCAACACGCGGCTGTGCATCGAGCGGCGCCTCCGGCTGCCCTTTCTTGATCCGCAGACGGGCGTCGCCCAGAACCACTCGCAGCTATTCCTGGACAAGCGCCAGCGGATGCCCGGCTTCAAGCAGGGCCAGATCTACACCTATCCAGCTGCCCGCTGGCGAAAGAGCCGTCGTCAGTACTTGAACAAGATGTACAGGTGAGGATTGCTCATTGGTTCCAGGGAATCAAGTTATAACAAAGAAAATCTAAGGTTACCCGTAGCCTCAGTACTGTTCAATATGTTTCTATCGTTTATTACATACAAATAGGTTATCTTAGGGAATACATTTTATATCTTTTAGTATTCCAGAAAGTTCCAAGTACGCATCAGTTTTAGAAACAGACCACAAACAGAAAAAATTGTATGTTTTATTTAGGGAAGTCCAAACACAGGAAATTGATAAATAAACTTGCTTCTTTACTTTTCTGGCTTATCAATTTCAGAAAGAAATATTTTTATTTTGAAGTACTCATGCCACCAGATCGCTTATAAATTCCAAGACTATTTCTTCTGACACTGAATTTCCATATTCCACAGTCGCTTTCCGGAGCGTCCCTTCCAGGCGCTGCGCAAGGAGCACGAGGCTCTGGTGGCCAGCGGCGCCAATTTGGGACTGAGCAGCCTGAACAGCGGCGCGGCCTCCATCCCCGGCGGCAACAGCCTGGCGAGCAGCTCCTCGCTGACGCTCAATATGCTCACTGGCGGCGGAGCTGCGCCGGCGGTGCTGGGTTCTCTGCACAGCGGCGATACGGCACACGATTTCAATGGGGCCTTCAGCCTGGAGGAGTCTAGCTCGCTGGGCGCCGCCGGCGGTGATACCTCCGACAGCAAGGACAGCCAACAGCAGCAGCAGGCGCATCAGCAGATACAACAGCACCACCAGCAGCAGCAGGCCGTCAAGGAGGAGCAGCTGCCCAAGGACTGGTTCTACGATGACATGGACATGAACGATGTGGACTCGCTGGAGGAGCCCAAGTCGCCGGCAGACGATGAGTACGACTACGATCCGCGCTACGGCAACAAGAAACGACGCAAGCGGCGACCGGGCAAACGAGGCGGAGACTCCGGCGGCGGCGGCGGTGGTGGAGGCGCCAGCGGTGGCGGCAACTCTGGCGCTGGCTCCAGCTCGAGGCGACGCAGTGCCGCGGCCAGGTCGCGCATCACGACGACAGATGCGGCGCTGGACGCCTCGCTAGAGGCGATCGAATCCGGTGAGAGTGTGCCGGGCAGCAATGGCGGAACGGTCTCGGTCGGCGGAATCCTCAGCAGCAGTCTGGGAGCGGGATTGGCTGGCGTTTCGGGATCCGGCGGCGGAGCAGGTGGAGCGGCAGGAGCTGCGGCAAATAGCCGACGCTCTCGGGGAGCAGGAACTCGCGGCCGTCGACGAACCAAGGGACCGGCGGGCGCCGTTGGAGCCGCGTGCGATCCGACAATTCCTGGCATGGGCATCGAACCGCCATCCTTCGAGAGCGCTGCTGCTGCGGTGGGCGTGGTCGAGGACGCAAACGCTCATCTGCGCAACTATCGGAAGTATCTGTAACCGATCTTTCAGAAAAACTAATTCGTCGTGTATTCAATCAATCCCCCTGTTTTCGTATTGTTTTCTCTCGCCTATCGATCGATCTACTTTTCGCACCTAATTTAAAAATAGTTTATAAGCCTTAGTTGATTACTGTTGCTCCAAAAAGGAAAAAAAAAAAAAAAAAATATTACGAAACGAATCAAAAACATTGTGGACCAGGAACAGAAACAGGATTAGGATCGGGATCACGAAAAGGACAGCGCACCAGGCCGTAGCCAATACAATTCCAACGTTTCGCCTCTCTTAACTTTACGTTCCCATAGCCAATTGATTGTTGTTTTTGAACTACAAAAAGATTTGGGAACTTCTGTACAAGAAAACTGTACTAGAAACTTCTTATGTAACATTTCGAAAATCAACTGTTTTACTAAACGGAACATTTTTCAATTAGCAATGTCATTTAATCATTTTAATCTGTATTTTAAAGTTGTAGAAGCAGTTATGGAGTTTAATCAAATTTTGTTAGGGAAGAAAAATTGTATATTAAACTAAATCATGCCAAAAATTTAAAAGAGGTTTTAAAAGATCCCTAAATCCTTTTGAAACAGCATAAACCAAAATTTGTAAAATCTCTTAGATTATCCTGAATCAAGTTTTAAGAGTTTTCTTTACAGAAGTTCCCCAATCTATATCCTATATTGTACATTATATATATGAGTGTACAGGAATTATATATATTAACATGCATTATCTTAGCGACTATACTTAAAGCAAGTCCGCTTTTTGGACGAGCTATCCACCTATTCGCAATCTCTCGGTTTCTGTTGCTGCATGTTCTCTATAATCTACTTTATCTATCTCCCCTCCCCACCATATTATATTCAATTTTTTTTTAAATAACCGAAATTTTAGTTAAAAAGGTGACAATTCAAATTGTAATATTTTTAGGCAAGTGGTAGGGTATCTCTAGCATATAGAAAAAAACACTTTCGTAAACCAAAATTTTTTCTAGGATCATAATTCTTAAGCTGAGCTGCAAAACGAAAAAAAATTTTAACGAAGCAAAAAAACACGATCAAAATGTAAATTTGGTAAATCAAAGTCCACAAAATTTTAACAAGTGAGAGTTAAAAATCAGACAAAATACCACAAGAGAAGGCAAAAAAAAAATGGAAATAGGTTTCTAAGATGTTTTAATATATTTTGTAATAACAATTTTGCAACCAGTGTTTTCTTTCATCCTTTTACCAAAAAAAAGTCCATCCAGCAAAGGCAAAGGCATTCTCAATGATTGGTTCCCCGAGAGGATTTGCCAATCATCGATCATCAGGCTCTATTGCTGGCGGGATTTCTCGGGAACAACTACTTTTTGCGTTTGGAGGTGCTTGAAGATTCATCTGTGGAGGATCTGGTGCTTCGTTTGCGTTTCTGGCTGCCTTGGGGCTGCTCTTCACCATGTTCTTCCTTCGATTTGGCTGTCTTTGTCGGCTTCTTCTGGGATTTTGCGGCAATCTTTGTTTTAGATTGTTCATCCTCCTGTTGATAAAATCATTAAGTTAATAATAAACTACATTTTAATTTCTTTGATGTTTTTCATTACCTCCGACTCCTTTGTATTGATTTTAGATTGCTCCTCCTCGGATAGTTCCTCAGATTTCAGATCTTTTTGGGATTTGCTTGCCGTAATCTTCTTTGAGTCGGTTGCCGTTTTGTTCTTGTCCAAATCCTTTGAAGGTGCCTTTTTTTTCTGGATTTGTTAATTAATTAATTAGTTAATTTTCTGCAAATACTTTAGGTTTTACCAACCTCAGTTGTTTTTGATTCGGTTTTTGATCTCTTCTCCTTGGCCAAAACCTCGGATTTCTGCTCCTTTTCAGTTTCGGCAACCTTAACCTGCTCCAAATCAATTTTCGATGAATCCTGTTCGTTAGGCAATCCAGTGGCCTCCTGATTCCCACCCAAGATCCCTGTGATTCGATCGTACACCTCATCTACACTGGGAATCTTGAGAGCACGCGGTGGTCCTCGCTTTAAACCAGACCAAAGCGCCACCTGCTCCCCGTTTCCCCCACCTTCCTTCTGCAAACTCAACTCGAAGGCGCCGCGCCGTGGTGCTCCAGATGCATTCAGCCGGAGTTGAAGCTGTTGGAGACCACGATCCTGCAGAGCGGCGTGCAGCTCCTCCGCCCGACGACGAAATACGCGTCAGGATCGGCAGTGCTCTACGTAGAGCACCGGTTGCGAGGGATCAAGCTCTTTGGCCTCATCCTCTTGAGCTGCAGGCTCCTGGAATACGTTTAAATAATGCTTTAAACAGTTAAAAAACAATATTATCACTTTACCGTTGCTTTTTTGGTTCGTTTTGGTGGCATGTTCAGATTTTTTAAGCAAATTGCGCCATTCAGTTAGCAACAGTGTTGGAAAACGAGCAAACCCAAACAGTAGAACTCTACACTTTAAATTCCCAAAAAAATATTTTCAGAATTTAAACAATATAGCTTGCGGTGGAAGTTCGGTTAATAAAGTTTCTCAATCGCTAATTATTTAAACGTGTAATCATCGCTTAGAATACCGTAACTTTTAATTAAACTATCGAGCGCGCAATTTTGGAAACTATCGCTTCTCTGACGCAGCCAACTTCAAGTCGACGCTCGATTTGAATTTGTGAAATAACCTAAACACGATCAAAACAACAAGTGATTTTAAAAACGGTGTATACCTCAATTCCTCAGAATGTCACACTTGATGCCCCGGCGAACCAGCGAGTTCCGCGGTGATGTGCTGGAAGGCACCGCTGATAAACGGCAGACCAGGTAAGCTAACCAGGATAAGATCCTGCAGGAAAATGAGTCCAATTCAAGCGACGTTTATCCTTTATTCAGGGCAGGCAAACGCAGTGCTGCCACACACACCCCGCTGTCCAATCAGGCAACGACCAGGAGGTGAGTAAACCATAGTATAATAACCGTAATTCACTTTAAATTGCAATCTAATCCCCACCAGAACATCCGCATCGCGACTGCCGCAGCCGCTGAACTTGGAGCGCGATCGCGCTAGTCAAATGGGCGTGACACCCAAGCGAGTCCATCGCTTTCTGCCCTCCACCGCGGAACGCGCTGTTCCCCTGCATTCCGATAAGAAATGGGTGGCGGAACGGGCACAGCAGATACTGGAGTACCTGAACTCCGTCGATCACAGCGAAGCGCCCACGGGTATCATCTCTGATTTGTTTAGCCGGCCCGGAGGCCTGCGGCACATGACCATCAAACAGTTCGTGGCCATTCTCAACTTTCTGTTCCACAACATATGGCGGAATCGCCCGACCGTCGGTCAGAACCACGTCGAGGATATCACCAGTGCAATGCAAAAGCTGCAGTATCCATATCAGGTTAGTAATACTATAAACCCTTCCAAATCAATCAGAATCTTTCTTTGGGAGGTTGTAACTTTGATAAACTAAGTGCATGAGTATACCAGAGTTCAATATTTAACGAGCGTTCAAAAGCTGAAATTTTAATTATTCGTTTAACCGATTTGTGATTTTTAGGTTAACAAATCCTGGCTAGTATCACCAACCACACAGCACTCCTTCGGCCATGTGATCGTCCTTCTCGATTTCCTCATGGACTTTGCACCACCGCTGTCTTCCTCGGATGAGCTCGAGGAAGAGTTTCCGTTCATGGAGACCACGGAGCAGCCCAGCTCGTATCTGAACAGCATGCACTGCGAATCGATGGCCGTCATGTCCACCACGCAAATGCCGCCCGTTCAGCTGGACGAGGCGGTCAACGCACTGCTCTTTATCGAATCTAGCAAATGCATAGCCCTGTGGGATCAGGAGCTGGCCAACGAGGAGGCCAAGCTGCAGGCGATGACCAGCGATAAGGTGATCAACAAAAAATGCAATCTGCCCGATCGCCAGGCCCTAAATAAGGAGATTGGCAACCTGAAGGCCAAGCTGCAGCAGCTGGAGAAGCTGGAGAAACTAAACAAGGAGCGCGATCAACTGGCACAGCAGCTGACTGCCACTCAGGCGGAGCTGAATCAGAAACTGAAGCAATCCGATCAGCTTTTCATCAAGACCGAGGCAAAGCAGGCCGAGATCAAGGAGCTGAGAAAGTACGAGCAGCGTCTCGAGCAGACTGTCAATAGTCAACAGTACTCCGTTCAGCAGTTGAAAACTCTACAAATGAAGTGCAGCGATATGGAGAACTACGCCAAGGCCTACAACCGCCAGGTGAAGGAGGTCTCCGAGCTGGAACTCCATCAGCAGGTGATGCTGTCGCGGGCCAAGCAAAAGCAACTGGACGCCGTCGAGGTCTTCAACTCGCAGGTCCGTCAACTGAGCATGGACTCGGCCATTCGCGTCCTGATGAAGGACAGCGGTGGCCAGCAGTTGGACCTCACTCTGCCACTGAATCCCACACAGAAGGACATTGCCGAGCGCGTTCAGTGCCTGAAACTGCTGGGCAATCTGCTCCAGGAGCAGTGTCAACAGCAGCGCCAGCAAAACCTCGAGCGGCGCCAAAAGCTGGAGCGGCAGAAGGCCAAACTGGACAGCGATACCATTGAGTTGGACACGGAGATTGCCAGCTTGGAGTCGCAATTGCGAGCACAGAAGCATCGCTTTGCGAACCTGGAGGAAGGGTATCGCACCAAGCGCGAGATGAAGCTGCAGCACCTCCAGCAGTTGATCGAGGACCAGTACGCCCAGGTTGCCCAACTCCAGGAGCTGGAGAGACGGCATGATCAGGCGGAGGAGCAGTTCAAGGCCAACGAGCAGAGGAACGAAGATCTGCTCACCGCTGCCGAAAAGTATCAGCAGCAGGATCACCAGGCGCGCTGTGCCCGCCTCGACGACTACGAGAAGACGCTGGCCGAGGCGACCCAGAAGCTGCAGCTCTTCGAAGCCAGGCTCGCCGCCAGTCGGGCCGCGTTGGCAGACTCCGAGCAGCTGGTGGAAGCCACCCAGCCGCCCTCGTTTGAGCCGGTGCTGGAGGCTATTGAAAAGCGCGTTGATTAGTTTTATTTTATGAAGATATGATCATTTGTATATTTATATTCACCAAGGAGATTTCCTATTTCATGGTTCACCTCATTCTAAAAATGATATTGTAAGCAGGACTTTCTTGTCACTGTCTTGAGCCAGTTTTAAATTTGTTAAATAATGTTATAAAATTTAAAATAATAGTTTATTTAAAGTGCATTCATTGAATTATGTGTAAATGTAATTTTGAAATTAAACATTTAACACAGTTCAACAGAAAACAACCAGCCAAACACATTAAAAAACATTTCAGTTTATTTAATTATGTATTCTGTTTTGAGGCACTCAGAATTTGTTATTAATTTGAATTTTTAGGGGTTACCATTTTTAGTTAGTAAAGTTATCAACCCCAGCGGTATTGGCAACTCATTTGCTTTTGGTGTTAAAACAGGGTGCAAAAACACGGAAGCCTAGCCTAAGTGTGACCAATTTGAAGAAAAAATATCGCGCTAATAATGTTTTTTTAATGTATCGATATTTTGATATACCTTCGACACCCTACTTCCACCTCTATCTGTTTCGGTCATTCGAAAAATTGGTCTCGTTGGCTCTCCGTGTGTGTATGTCCGCTGAAACTGCGCCAAAATACCGCGGTACATATTCGAATTCGACCGAATATATATCGTTATTTAGCGTTAAAACAATATTTTTTGCCTAAGGCTTCAATTCCGTTGCGTGTTTGTTTAAGTAACTTTGTGGGCGATGTGTGTGCGCCGGTGTTAGTGAGCGCCGAAAATTAAAATATAATAGTAACAAAAAAAGATGAACTGACGCCGTGTAGAAAATTGTCTTATTTACTCCGCATATATGAATTAGTTTTTGCTCGCTATTTTTTTCTAGTGTTCGTTCGTGTGTGTGAGTGTGCGGGTGTGCTTGTCTGGGAATTGTTAAAAAAAATTGGCAGCTGGCACACGGACATAAATCGCCAAGCGAAAAACCAAAACAAATTTGTTGGCTCTGTGCGTTACTTCTACTTTTTTCGTTTTTTTTTCCCCCCATTGCAATGGTGCCGCACCCAAGTTGAATAAATGTTTATGGTTTTTAATTCAAATGAATGGCGAGTGCAATTAAAGGCTAAATGCAAAATTCACGTTAAGTGCGAAGCACACGATGACAACAAAAAAGGAGGAGAGAATAAAAATCGGAGGACGCCAAAGCCAAAAGCACAGCAACAACAACAACAATAGGCGACAATAACTGTACAACAAAAAGCGCTCAAAAACTCAAAATTTAAGCTGTGTTATTGTAGTTGTTTTCCCGTATGTATTTACCACGAAGCGAAAACTTCGTAATAGAGTTTTGAGTGGAGTGGCACTCTCTCGCTCGCTCTCTTTTTCCCTCTCTCTTTTACCTGAGTTTTGGCTTCTTGAGCGCTTTTTGGTCAGAATCCTGGCTTTATGTTGTTCCTGGCTTTCCCACTCGGCATTTATGTTAGAGGTAAGCATTATTTTGTTACCAAGTTTTCGTCCAAGGGCGTAATCTTAAGTCATATACACCGTTTTTTTTTTGTTGGTGGACTTAAAACAGGTTTTCTAGCAGCTAGCAAAGATGTCGAAGAAGAGGAAGAGCGCAGACAATGAGCGCGAATTACGGATGCATCTGTGTTCGTGTGTGTTGCGTGAGCCTCTAAGCCTGTGTTTGTGTGTGTGCAAGGTGGGGCAGCTTCAAGAGATCACTTTGAGCTCTTTTTTTCGATTTCCCTCTCCCTCGTTCTTCGTCTCTTTGGCGCTCTCTAGGTGTTTTCACATGTATTTCACATTCAAAGCGATTTCTCTCCCAGCTACAGTTTAAATTTTACCGATCAGACTTCTAAAAAACTGAGATAAGAGGCTCATCAAATTCTTAACATGATATAAAAAAAAAACAATGTATGAAGAAGATTATGACTGAAGCTGCTAGCAAACACAAAAATACATGTACTTCTCTAAAGTTGATCATAAACAAAACTGTTTAAAGCCATTTCTAAAAATGAATATAAAAAGTCTAGTTTGGAACACTTTGATAAAATATGGTTAAATCCGAATGTTTCTTTTTTAAATAGTCCGACCGTATTTTATTTTGAATCTTGACGTTATTTTACCATTCGGTCATCGCGACGACGACGTCATCGTTGTGAATAGTGAATATATAGTAGCTCGTTCCGCCCCAGCAACGCCGTCGACAGCAAAGCCCCCGCCCCGAATCGACCCAAAAAATAATAATAAATAAATAAAGGAATAACAAAAAGTACGAAAGCTAAACACCAGCAGTGGCCAAAAAAAAAAAAAAAAAAAAAATAGCCTACTAGTTGGTCAATTATATGCCCTTCAAGTCCTTATTTCTGGCTTAAAACAAAAAGAATGAAAATTACACTTAAAAAGTGTATTGTTAATTGTTGTTTTCAAGCAAAGTGGTAAATGTATGTATTAGGCAATAAACTAAATAAATGCCTATTCTTTGTATAATCCTAAGACAAGTTACTGATTCAAGGTTACACCGTTCATTATATTATATTCCATCTTTAATCCCAAAAAAGGCAAGCGAGATATGTATTTCTTTGTTCGGTTTCAGTTTGCCACGGGAGATCTTGTTCATTGAAAGCGATAAGCAAAGAACTTGAATGGGACATTGAAAGCTTAGAGAACCATTGCCAATAAATTATTCCAAAAACAATTGAAAGAGTCAAGCATAATTAAAGCAGTTCATTAATTGAGGAGGTAGCGAAATGGAGAACCACACTCAGGGCCATATGAACATGTACAAAGCCTCGTTTCTTTTATTTTGTTTTATTTGTCATGCTTCGCTTATTTGTTATTGTTGTTATGCTTCCCCAGCGATTTCCCGCTCGTTCCCTTGGGAAATAGTTTCGCATTTTTTAGTGATAAAACGATCAGGATTTAACAGAATTTTTTTATTTTTGATCGTTCAGAGAACGCTAGAATAATAATATCACTAATATAATATGACTAATATAATATGACTAATTTGGCAAGTTTTTTTAAGTCCCTTTTGATTCGGGTTTTAAGCCCTAAAAATCCCCATTTACATTGATCTTTGACGATTTCCTTCATAATTGAATTGTTCTTGAACACCACGAGGAAAATTTAATTTATCAATTTTCTCGGGGCTTTTACAATTTGCGTTATCTCGCTTTGGGCCGATCAAATTCGTATTTGCACTTGGCGTTCTTTATTGATTTTGTCACTTGTGACGGCTGCTGAATGAAGTGAAGGCATGATATCATCAATATCTTTCCACCACCCTCATGCCGCGCAATTTATGAGATTTATGTTGATATTTTCTTGTTTGGCGTGCAATTGCCTCGCATTTGTTATAATTAAATTGGAACGCCCAAAAAGTCGAGGAATTAAGAATACGCCACATATACAAATTTTGTGTGTGTTCCGAGTGGGTAAATATATACCTATAAATTTATGCGTTCTGGCGCGAAAGTGTATGTGCTTGTGAGTTGGATATATGTATATATATGTACAGAATATATATATATATATATATATATATTGATATCATCGCGCGGCATCTGTATCTTTTTCGGATCTTCAGCAAGCGAACTTCTCGAATCTCATTTTTAGTCTTTCATCTCTTGAACAGCTGGTGATTGCGTCATTTTCATTTTTATTCGGGGTCTCTCTCTTTTACCAGCTTTTAATCCAAATTTTTTTGTCCACGAAAAAATCCTTTTATGATGTCATTTTTTGATGTTGCATGTCGCAAACCGCAGGCCAAAAAAATGTTGTTTTTTTCTTGTTCCTTTTTGGCAGCAAAAAATCAATAGCAAGCCGGAAAAAGTGTTCAGTATTTCTGTGCTGCTCCACAAACAAACAAAATACAAGCAGGGGAGCTGATGTCATCATTCATTGCCTAAAATTTGGCTGTTTCTGGGCTCGGTTTCTTACTCTTCTATTCACTCTCCACTTCCACTTCCTCTCCGATTAACTTGCGGTAGTAACCTACCGAAAGTAGTTTGTTTTAAGTAGCTCTGATCTTTTTAAATTGCTTATCTCATTGCGACTGGTGTATAAAATAGCAGAAAAGGAAGCCACAAGAACACACACTATTTTGTTTCATATAAATTAAATGTAATAATTTATAATTTAGTTGAACGTTACTTTACTGTAATGCAGTAAATAATACCATATGCCAAATGTGGCTTAACATTTCTTATCTGCAACTTCCTTAAATGGCTTATTGGATTATAAAGAGTGTATGCTCTGGTTGAAGGCGGAGGGTTAAGAAAGCGAGTGTGTTGTTTTGGGTTAAGGGGACTCCGGGCCGCGGTTTTCGCGGTTGAAGCGCTTAGATGTTTGTTGTTTTATTTTATTTATCTTTTCGTTGTCTTCCTTTTTTGCAAACAGCGAGAAAATACTGCAAAAATATACATTAAAATCAAAACCAAAAATAAATCTTTTTTTTTTTTTTACTTTAGTTTAGAATAAAACAAACACATGCGTAACGAGGTTTTATTTTTAAAAGTGATATATTAAGATTGTGTTGAACGGTATGCAGTTAGGTATTGAATGGCATCACATACATATACAAATAAGTTTGTAATGCAGATTTAACCAATTGAAAGGAACAGGTTGCGATCGGATTTTCGCGTTGTGCATTTGTTAGTTTCGCTTGTTTTATCATCCGTTTTTGCGGCTGCTCTAGGTGCTAGTACCGTTACTCTGCCGGCATCGAGTGCATTGCACTTTTAAGTGTTTTCGGGCTGGGAAATCGAGGGGGGCGGGCCGTGTGGCAAGCGGGAAAAAGACGCCAGAGAAAACCCCATGTGGCACAGTTGCACACAGACAAAAAAAAAAAAAAATGAAAAAAAAAAGAAAAAAAAAAACAGCACACACAAAACGGAGACAGACAGGAGTGGCGAACTGCAATTTGCATTAGCTTTTCGCTATGTTTTAGTTCTTGTGCAGTCACCTCCAACTTCTTTTCCCATTTTCCATTTTCCGTTTTCTATGCCCAATGGGGCTACTTGGGCCCTCTTGTCATTTGGGTTAAATGTGCGCAAAACCTAAAAAAGGGGCATGGCTTTTTGGTTAATTAAACTGAGAGAAATAAAGAGTACATTACTTGGAAATTACTTTGAAATAGATGGATAAACTGCTCATTGTTAAGCGGTATGCAAACACGTAAACATAATTATCGATCGACTGCAGATTGTTGAACCCGTTGGCCAATCTCTTTAATTGATCAATCAACAAACAGCGCTTAAAACACACAACTCAATAAACTGGGTTTACCTTTATTTATTTGTGTTTGCGAGAGATCTCCAACCGATCGAGTTTCGATTTCCGCAGATCGGAGCGATCCTTTATCGGCATTATTTGATCGTGGCCCCGTCATTGAATGTGTTCTGTCATAAAAAAATATAAAATAAAGCTTTGCCTGGACAGGGAGCTTTTTTTCACTTCATCCAGAGTCAAACGGTGACTCAAGCTTGTATCACTTTTTTTTCAGGTATGTCGTATTATCGGACACACCCAGTGAGAAAAAATATGTGTGACAAGCTTTGCGCTTGTTCGAGCCTCTCTTCTCTCCTCTTCTCTTCTCGTCTCTCTCTTTCTATATTTATTCTCCAGTTTTGGTGGGAAATTAAGTTGTACAATTGATGTTGTTGGCCAGTTATTTAATTATTTGAATAATCGCCAAGGCGTGGCTAACTGATAACTCGAGATTTTTCCCTCAAACGTGTTAGAATTTCTAAACAATATCACGAAATATCTGTGTTTATTTTTTGTGACCTAAATGTGACATAAGCAGTTGCTTAAGTATTCCCCTGGCTCATCTAATTACTTTTGGGAATTGTAAAGTAGAGCATTAGTTTAATGAACACTTTTTGTTGCTGACTATATTTTGTATCTTTTTTAACCACATAAAACCCCTTGGTTTTTTTTTACAACATTTCCTTGCTGCCAAGTTGTGGGCCCCAAAACTTCCGTTTAGTGCGTTAGTTGGTCCGCTTTAAATGCGGTTAAATGATGGGGATTGGGGGGCAGCAGGCTGGGTTGGCCGAGGCTCCCGTTTCATAAATTGCATTATGTTGCCGGCGAATGGAGTGAAGTTGCCACCGCCAGAGGAGCATTGAACTTCTCGTCTGTGGTCCGGAAACCTGACAGCAACTCCCAGTGGAAAATGTGCCTCCCCCACCCACCCAACCCCACCCCCCTCTTCTGTTGGCTGAAAGTTTTGCGTCAGCTTTGCTCACTTCCTTTGAATTTTCCGCTAACGCTCTTTTTTGCCAACGTGAGAGGGGGGATTTGTGTGATTGATTGATTGTTGAAAAGTTTATACTTTTCAGTGGGTTAAAAAGTGGTTTAATTGAGCGATGAAGTTGGTTAATATATATACGATATTTTTTATCGCCAAAGAGGGGTTTATTATTGAATTGATTATTTAGTTTGCTCCAATTGTTTTCACTCAACAACCGTTCAAATATTTATTTTATTAATGGAAAGATCACTTATAATCCTTCGGCTTAGGCTTCACATATTTTTCTTTTTCATCGGGAACTTATTGATGGGAAAAAAAGCTTACGTTTGGTCAGCAGTCAGCTTATCATTCATGCATCCACGCATTCAATCCATTTCCCATTGCTGACCACACACAAAAAATTCAAAAAAGAAAAAAAAAAAAACGAAAAAGACAAAGAAAAGCGGAATTCATTTCAGTCACATTGATTGGGGTGGCTTTGGATTTTCGGATCGCATCAGGGTTAACAGCAGCGTGTGTATCCGTATCCGTGTATCTGTGCAACTTTGTAGATACTTTGGCATGGCTGCATACTGGTGTTTGGTCGCGTGTCAAATAACTGTGCTTGCAGCTGTTTTCCGAGGGGTGGAAAACATATCACCAACACACATTAATACACATATATGCGGATGGATTTCGGATATGGAGTGCCCGATTCCATTGTCCTTCTGCTCGGGGTCTCCACGTTTTCCTGTTTGCCCGCTACCTAATGGCAATTTTGCACTTATTTACTTACGCTCCTGCCTCCGGAGCATTGCAACTTACCATTCTTAATTGCCCACCGAAAGTCAACAGTTCTTAAATGACAAACGAAACGAAATGAAATGCTGGTAGCCATGGCAGGCATTCCGTCTTAATTCACCGAATTTATTGGCATTTAATGCGCCGGCATGAGGGCGAGAAAAACCACTATAGAGTATAGTACGATTGTTACGTACGTCTGCACTATGCTCTCCAATAAAAAATGAATTTTCCACAGCGAGGAAAATTAGTCACCACCAGCGAGGTTTTAATTAATCAAGAGAAGGGAGAGAGAGGGGAATGGAGATGGAGATGGAGGTCCATGGTGTGTGCTTATTAATTTGCTCTGATTAAAGGCCCGAAATGACCCCGCAAGAGTCATTCAATCGTTCACTTTCCCCCGCTCTGATGAGCCAGCCGATGGAAATGAAGGCGGAAAAGCGAGGGGATGGAGCTTTCTAAGCCGCCTAATGAATCAGCCCCCCCCGGAACATGACTAAGCTGTGAAATTGAAAGGAAAGCCGGCTGGAGAAATGTGGGGCCATACATACAGCACCGTTTATGGGCACTGCATTGCAGTCGATTCAAAGGGCCAAGGCCACTAAAAATCCAAAATGGCAAACAAAACCGAAAAACTGTGGCCACAACTTTAGAGCAACGTAAACTCAGCTCAAGTTAAGTCTTTAAGCTGAGGTTATTCATTCAGAATTTAAAGGGAAACAGACATTTAAAAGAACATATTAGATTAGTTTGTTCAAATAAACCGAGAAGTTATAGAACATGTTTCTGAACCAACAGATGTTGGCCAGTTCTTACATGATCTTGAGTCTTTTACGGTTATCAAAATGAAACTTGGGCATTATCCTTATAGTCGCCATATGTTGCATACCGAAACTAAAACGCATGTCTGCAACCATTTCCATTTCCATTTTCATTTTCCATCCCTTGGAAATGCATTTCGCTGCTGGAGAGCAACCAAATTAATTAATTAGCATAAATTAACAATTAAAATGCGCTCAGTCAGCGATTCGCGTCAGTTGCCGACGTTTGATAGGGGAGTAATTTCGGTTTTTCGGGATCGCTGCTGCAACCACCACCCCGACCTACAGATATGGGTGTATACTATATATAGTATATATTTCATATATGGTGGTGGTGCCTCCGCGTGTCAGCTGGCACCTATGGCCCACAGCCAACAGTCTTCCATCCCCCGATGCATTTCGGTGCTATTAATCAACTTCCCTTTTTATAACCCTCCAACCCCCAGAAAGAAAATAAATATGTAGACTCGTGCTGGATTTTATCTGCTCCTGAAACATTCTCCAAATGAGTTTAACTTTTAACTTTAAATGCGATAAAGTTTACGTTTGACTCTTTATATGCACGATATCTATATCGTTAGTTTATTTTCGTTTTTTTTGTTTTGTTCTTGCTTTGTTATGTTTACAAGTTGTACTTTATTTGCTAAATAAAAGCTTAGGCTAGCAAAAAAAAAAAAATGAGTTCAAGGCTGCAAATATTTATAAACCTTTGAAACGTTTTTTTCTTAATTTTGTAAATTTTGTCTCTGGTTTAAACAGCTCAAATTACATTTTTCGTTTGTTAATTTAACATGAATGTTGGGTAAATACTTTTTTTTGGATTGCTGTTAAAAGCACACGTAAATTTGCCAGGTCTTAAACTATATATTATCCTACGTTTCGCTCAGATCTCCACCACATAGCGACTGCTGCCCGAGGGACTTATGGAGTAGTAGCTGTTCTCTGAAAAATTACACAAAGTCATTAGTTTATTATTAGATTGAAATAGATCCGAAGATTTGATTTCAAATAATAGGAACAATATGATGGGATTTCATTTGTTCAAGTTCTTATAAAGTTGTCAGTCAATTAATTGTGCGAGATTTAACTACTTAATACTTGGGTATTATTTATATATTTATAAGAACTCACCTTCGTCGCTATCGAAGCTATAGAAATTGTCATCATCGCGGGTCATCGATCGTCGGCTACGTCGTTGTTGTTGTTGTTGTTGTAGGCTTTGCACACTATTCTGATTCGGATTCGGATTCGGATTCGGATTCGCTATAGAACTCGACTGGGAGCTGAGATTCGTGGGCGTGGAACTGCGCCGGCTGCTGGGAAAGGATAATGGTGAGCCGTACTCGGATCGGCTGCAATTGGAGTTGTGTCGATCCAAGGCCAGTTCCATGGACTTCTTTTTCGCTCTACTTTGGGCCAACAACAATGCATCCTGATCTTCATTGCTGTTGTTGTTGTTGTTGAGTGTTATCTGTGGTATAACCACAGCTCGATTTGTGGGCGTAACCGAGTCCACGATCCGCTTTTCGGTTAGCTGCAGCTCGAGGATCTCCTCCATTTCGGGCTCGTCCTCGTGGCCACTCCGCTCGTACTCCTCGCTGTGCATCCGCCGCGGACAGATCCTCGGCCTGCCGCCCTCGAAGCGGGATATCAGCTTGTTGACCTTGCCCACGTCACCCGGGCGCACCTGTTCGTTGTAGGTGAGTCGCAGGGAACTGGTTTTCACCAGTGGCTTGGCGGGTCGCGACATGGAGGCGCTTCTCTGCGGGACTCCCCGGCTGACGACGGGTGGAATGGCGACCGCCGCTGCAGGAGCAGCTGCTGCTGTTCCCACTGCGGGCGAGGCAGGAGGAGCGGGATTCGGCGAGGGAGGAGCTGCGTTCGGTGGCTTGCTGATGGGCAGAGGAGGCGGCACTGCATCGTAAATGGGAGGGGGCGTGGCTGGGCGTTTGGGCGGCGGTCGTCGCTGTGGAAGTGGTGGTGGTGGCGGCGACTCTGAGGGCGGTCGTTCCGAGGCATCCCTCTCGGAGGAGTCCTCCTCCTCCTCCTCATCCTCATCCGCCTCCTCATCTTCATTTCCATTTCGGTCCGCAACCAGCTCCGCATCCTCCTCGTCCTCCTCCTCCTGGGCCATCAAGCTCTCCCTGCTGTTCCCGATCTGCGGACTCTGCACCCGTATCCTGGTCACCCGGGAGCTGCTGTCGTCCGCCTCCTCGCCACTCGTATCGATGCTGCTCCCCGCACTGATCCTCAGCACGGGAGCATTTCGCAGGGCTTCATCGAAGTCTGCAAAGGCGGCCGAACCACCGGCGGATGCCTCGAATATATCGATGCTCTTCGGCTTGTACAAGCTGGGAGCTGGCCAGGAGGCCTGCTGCTCCCTGAAGCCGGCGATGATCTGCTCGTTGGGCAGCCAGATGCTCGCCTCCGAAGCGGAGACCTTGATGCCACCAGCTGGCGTTTGGAACTCCGGCGAAGGGGAGCGCTTGGCCGGATTGGAACTGACTGCAACTGCAGGAGAAACCACTTCCAAAGAGGAGGAAATCGTAATCTCCGGATAGGGAGAAGATCTGGCTGCTCCAGCGGCAGCAGGCGAACCCTTTGGCAACCTCGGGGAAAGGGAACCCTTGCCGGCGGCCACCGCTATGATCAGCGTGGACTCGTAGGCATCGGAGTGCTCCTGGTGGATGAGCACCCGCGGGTAGTCCTCGTCGGCCATCTCCTCCAGCGATTCGCTGCTCCAGGCGGCCGCTCCGCTCTTCGACGCCGCCTGAATCTCAGCCAGCTTCGCCATTTGGCGAGCAGCGTGGGTGCTCTTATTCTCCGATACGGATGGCTTCCTCCTCTCCCGATTCGGATCCTGAGTCTCCCGCTGGATCTGGCCAAATGCCTCCTCAGCGGACACATCCTCGCCGCTGTCCTCCTCGTTGTCCCGCCCGTTCTCCCCACTCTCGGGACTATCGCTGCGATGGTAGGTCTCCGGCAGCTCCCCGTCATCATCGATTTCCACGGGTTCGTGGCCGACTGTATTCGGTTTTGGTTGCGAGATCTCCGGGTTCGGGCCGGAGTGCCGCTGAAAAAACTTCAGCTGGTGCACCTTGTCGTTCAGCTTGGCCAGGGTCTTCTCCAGCTGGGAGCCCAGCAGGAGACCACCCAGCACTCCACCGGCATTCGAGGGTTCCTCGGTTGCTCCATGGGCTTCGGGTTCCCTGGTCTCCTTGGTGGAACCCTTGAAGCTCTTTCGCCAACGCTGCTGCAATTGCTCCGTGGATGCAAAGCGACTGAGACGCGCTCGCAGATTTATGGAGGAGGTCTTCCTGGGCAGCTGATCCTTGGGCTTGTCCACGGGATCCTCCTCCTCATCCGAATCCGCAGCTGTGCTGGCCTTGGACTTCAACTTGGCTGGTCGCTTGATGGACTTCCTGAGCCTCTTGATGTTTTGCCTGATTCCGTACTTGGAACTGGAACTCGGATTGATTTCCTCGGCATTTTCCTCTGCTTTGGTGGCTGGCTCCTCCTTCTTTTCCCTGGAAAGCTGTGGCAGACTGGGCAAACTGGGAAGGTGTGGCAACTTGTTGAGCAACTGCTTGTAGCTGCTGGGACGCGGAGGTGCCTGTGGTTGATCCTCCTCCAGTTCGCCGGACTGCTCCTCCATTTCCAGCGGTGGCTTTCTCACCTTGGCGAACCTGGTGGCCGCAATGCCGGGCTTCCTGCGATTCGGGAGTGGCGGTGTGGCCTCCATGCCACTCTCATCGGTCTCGTGGTTCAGTTTGCCCCGCTCGAACTGCTCGTGCTCGACCTCATCCTCTTCGAAGGTATTCTGTCGTGTGCCAGCCAGAGTCTTGATCTTTATATCGTAGTTCTCGGCTATCTCGCGATCCCTTCGCTCCCTGGCCAACTTCTCGGACTTGAGTTCCCGCTCGTACTGCTCCACATAGCGATCCACCTCGATGTTGTCCCTGCGCACCGTGGTCTGCTTGGCGAAGATGTGCTTGAGCCGCAGTTCGCTGAGACTCTTGTAGCCCCTCTGCAACCGTTGGGTTATCGAGCTGCGAACACCTCCTCCTCCTCCAGTTGGCGGGGAGCCATCCGCCCCGCCAGCCGGAATCTTAATGGGACTGATGGGTCGCGAGGCTCTTTCTCCGCTGCCGCCAGGAGCATAGTAATCGTCATCCAGACTGCCGGCACTTCGATACGTTCCCGTTCCCGGCTGCAGTTGTCCCTGGTTCGCCCGCATCTCCTCCTGCTCGCCTTCGTACATCAGCGAACTGATCGTGGAGATCCTCTGCGGCGTCCTGTTGATGAACTGCTGCGACTGTCCCGGCAACTCCAGGTGCGACTGCTGCTGCTGCTGCAGTTGTCCTCCATTCTTCGAGGATCCCGTGGCTGCTCCGCCCGCCGGATGTTCGTCGCTCTTGGAGCTGCGGAATATCTTGCGACCACGCAACTTGGGCAGCGATTTGGGCAGCTTCAGCTGGGGTAATTTAGCTGGGGGAAAAGGAAAGGTGGTATTAATATGAAGTAAAATCAGCAAAGAAACTAGTAGAAATATATTTTATGCAATTAGCAGTTTACAATGCATAAGAACCTGTCCCCTTAGTTCTGTATTATTGATTTTCGTTTAAAACCCTCGCAAGTGGTTCCTAAAACGCAGCTTTTTCCTCTGTTAACTGGTGGAACCTACCTCTCAGGCTGTCCACATCGATGCGCTGGCACAGATTCCTGAAGTCCATGGCGGAGCCAATGCGATCCGTGGTGTTCCTACTGCGATTCTGCTCCAAGTCGGAATTGCGTCGCTCCAATTGCGACTCCGAGTGCACTTGGTGGATCTGATGGTGGTGATAATGGTGGAACTGCTGATGCTGCTGCTGCTGTTGGTGGTGCTGTTGGTGGTTGGTCATCATCATCAGCCCGCAGCCAAGGATATATCCACTAGATCAGTGAGCCAGGCCGATTGACTGAGACTGAGAACTTGGTACGTCCGTTGCAGCTCAGCATTTTAGCCAGTGTGAAGAGGCTCCGGCGGAGAACGGCTCGGAAAAACACGGACCACGGCTGCGGCACTGGCACCTGTCAATGGAAAACCGCTAATTCAATTAGCACACACGGGGGCTTTTCCAAGCCTTTGTTTTGGTTGAAAAAAACGGGGTATCTTTTGGGTGATTCGAACTCCGTGAGATGCATCTTTTTGACAATGATATGATCAAGATATATAGTAATATAATAAATTATATAATAATATTCTTATTACAAAAACTAAAGCTAAAAAAATAGTAATTTTAAAATGGGTAACCTCGAAATACTTTTTTCTTTAAAAAATTAAAAAAGATATTGCTTATATGATATCATTATAAAGGCTTACAAAATTCATTCTAAGAGGTATTCAATATTTAACACCCTTTGCCGTAAAGTGGCTACTTGTTTTTCCATTTTCCCCTGCCTTGTTTTCCTTATTTATATACATTTTTCTGCTTCCTCTGCCAATTGCTAACTGCCCTGGCACATTTTCTAACCAGGTCTATGACGTTGCCTCCATACCATACCATCCATACACACTCGAATGTACTATATGTACCTATATTGATTCATTGAGGGTTCTGCGTCTGGTTTTCGGTTCTCTGTTGCATTCTACGTGCACGATTCATAGTATTCAACTATTGTCTCAGTTCTCTTGGCCACTTCCTCGCGTTTTGTTTTCACTGTCCCAAGGCGAAAATCGTCGCGAAAGTAATAAATCTACAATAATCGATTCTCCGTTCGCGTTTGTTTTGGTTTTCTGTTCAGTTCTTTATTTTTTTTTGTATTCTATTTTTTGGTTTGCTTTTTTTTTTTTTTTTTCGAATTCGATTTCGAATTTGTTGGGTCTCGCTGGTCAAGGCAAAAACGTGTCTGTTTCGAATGCTTGTAGAATTGCTCAAACAACTGGAAGAATGCACTTGGGGTCTTCTCTTCATAGAGAAACTTTTGCTTAGAAGTGACATCATGAAGTAACATTGATTTGATTTCATTGTATGCACAAACAAATACTTAAATATAGTGGAGAATTCACTATAAAATGATTATTACTATAGGTTTTATAACAATTTATGGTTAGGTGGGTTATACTCATAATCACCTTTAAAATACATTATTTCCACATGCATTTGCTTACTTTAAATAAACTAAATATAAAGTTAATTTGGGGAAATTCCAATGGACAAAGAAGCGCGTTTGATGAGACATCTGTTAGTCATTAAGTGAACACTTTTCTCGTTGAAATCAAGTTAAATAATCGCATTACTCACGGCTCTTTTTCTTCTTCTTCTTCTCCCATTTTCTTTGCAGACAAGAGACGCTGTGAACTTTTACCACCGCCACCCAAAACCGCCCACTTAGTAACGCCATTTCACTCGCACCCGCAGTCGTCGCGTCGCGTCGCGTTGCGTTGCGATTTTCGCAATTTCCACAATTGAAAAGTGTAAAGTTCTAGACGCCATTATCATCGTTGTCATAATCTCATTTACAGTGCAGCAGCAGCAGCAGCAGCAGAAAAGTAATAAAAGCTCGGCTTGCATGCAATTTTCATTAGTGGGAAAATTGCTTGATATTTAAGAGACACCCGAGGAACAAACCGAATCGACCCAGCCAACCAACACAGCAGACACATTCCAAAATAAATTAATAATAGAAGGAAATAAAAGTAAGAACAGAACGAACACACACTCGAGGGCCGAGCGGAGAGCCAAACGACGAAAATGTGGCGGCAGTCAACGATGCTGGCCGCGTTGTTAGTGGCTCTTATAGCGGGCTGTGCAGCAAGCAAAGGTAAGTAAAATAATTAATTAAAATAAAAGGAATTACAACTAAAAACCCCGAAAGACAACTGCCTTAAAAAAGAACTCAATTTGTTCATCGGAAATAGATTCAGCATTCCATTTTAAAAGCAACACGCTTAATTTGAATAACTCACTTGGGGTTTTAAATAAATACAAGGCAAGCATTAATCTATTAGAACTTGAGGAACCTCATTCAAATAGAGCATAGATCACTTGAGATTTCCTTTAAATTTTAGGTGAATTCCCCTTAGTGCTGTGCTTAAAATTAGTCAATAATTTCTGAATGATCTAAAAATACTCAGCAACAGAGTTCTTAAGGGGAAGTCACAATTTATGCGATCAATTAGTCGGTTGGAACCCAAAGCTTATCGATCTTCCTTTCTTTTGTGTCCACAGGCAACCATCCACCCAGAATCGTGAAGCAACCGGCACCCGGAGAACTGCTCTTCAAAGTGGCGCAACAAAATAAGGAGAGCGACAATCCATTCATTATCGAGTGCGAAGCCGATGGACAACCCGAACCAGAGTAAGTTAACAACCATAAAAATATATTCCAAATGGAATACATACTATATAGCATAGGGTTTTTCGAAAAAATTGTTGAAATAGTTCGTATGGTTAATGCTTTTGGAATCTTTTTTATATCTCGTCGGTGTCTTCACATTTATGTAGTGTGCCCTCTATTTTAATTCACATAAATCAAATTTAAGCAGCCGCGTCTACAAAGTTCCCATTCCAAATTTCGTACAAGAAATCGGATTTTTTTTTTTGTTTATTTATTTTAGCCTTGTTGTTCAGGCGGGTTTTTTTTTACGAAATATTTCGCGTCGTCACAAGTATTTTTAATTCCTAAGAGAACAGCAGGGAGCACGTTTTAAGGGAACTTGATATACAAAATTTCATTAGTTTCAGAACGAAACTAACTGGAGGAAACTCTGTTCAGAACAGACAATAATATATCACTTTAATTAATAGTGCTTAATCAGGCTTTGATTAAAGTTTTCATGGTTTTCGACTTCATTTAAGGCATTTAACTTTTGCCTTGAACTCTTTTATTTCCGTGGGCTATTAAATTATGAATTGGGGTTTTTAAACCCAAGAAACTCATATTTTGACTTTATAGAGTGTTAAATATTCCGAATACAAAATAAAAGGTTATGTTCGTCTGGTTTCATTTTTGTTGTTGAGCTATTATTGTCGTCGGAACATCCAAAAATATATTTCTAAATGTATTTCGAAGTTTGTTTTGGCCTCTTGGCTGGCTCTCTTGGTTTATTTTTACGATGATGCAGGTCTCGTTGAGGAAGTGAGTGATATTCGTTCGTCGCTCCGAGTAACCGATTTGAACCTGTTCCCTAAACACGTTTCGTTTCGCTTGTTTTATTCATCGTTTTTGATAACTTTTTTAGTAGAGCGTGTACTTAAGGCCCATTGCCTGGGGCTTGAGTCATTCGGCTGAGAAATGCGGAATTAGAAGCTTGAAAATTGTGCACAGAGGGCAAACAGAAGTTGATGATGATGGTATGTGACCTCATTGCCAAAGAACATACATAGATGGGTGTGGACAAAAATTCCAAAGACTCTGTAAAATATTCTGCTGGTGGTAATATACTCGTATGAACGAAAAAATCCTTTCTAGAACTAACAATACAAATAAACAAAGAAATTAAGAGCAGCTGAGGCAGCACATTCGACCGGAAGAGTAAGGAATTTCTGAAAAATGTGCAATTAAAGCAGTGCATATTTTTTGCGAACCATATACAGTAGACATTGATTAATAAAAAACCGATACAAATTTGTTTAGAAGTAACAAAATATAGTTAAAATCAATGATTTAATTATTAAATTTTACTTGGAAGTATAGGATGCCTTTAAAGTTCGTGGGACACAAAGAAATATTGCTGTAGTTTTAGTCAATTTCTACTGTACTGTAATCAAAATTGGCAACAACAACAAGGGCAAGCAGTGCGCAGCGGCAGCGCAGTAGCTGCGCTGTCGACGTTGGCAGAATAGCAACAGATGGCCGAATGCCAGCCACACACACATACACACACCGCAGACACAGATACACACACACACATGCAGAACGTGAGAAATGTGCAAGAATAATAAGAAGAAGAGGCAGAAGGAATGAGAAAATTGTGTGTTGTTTATTTTTACACGTACAAAACTAAAATGGGTTAATAGTGGGAAATGTGTGCGCTTTTCTTTTGGGCCCTCTTTCTCTACTCCCCTCTCGCTCCCCCGCACTATCTCCCTCTCTTTCGCAGCAAGTGGTTCTGGTACAGTGTTAGAAAAATACAAAAAATATACATATCACAGAGGCAAAGTGGTAATATCACAGAAAACCAGTTTGACCGGATGGTCAAGCACGTTGAGAATATTAACCAAAACGAAATGGAAACAAATTATAGGAAAAAAAAAGAAATGAACCCAACTGTGCCGGCTGGCATTACGTAATTCTACGGGACAATTTTAAACAATTTTTCACAGAATTTATACAGAATTTCCCATTAATTTATGATTCAACATTTCTTAGTGCCTTTCCTAAAGTGCAAGTAAAAGCAATCACATCTTAAGCATAATTGTTTAATTTATGCCATAATAATATAACTGCTCATTTGGAAATCTCGATTAAGTAAATGGAAAGTCTATAGACATTTTGTAATTGTAAAATAGTTGCAGACTTGCGAAAGATATATATAATATTGCAAAGCCAACAGCGTGGAGATAAAACGGAAATTGCTGGTCAATTTTCATAGTTAATATTATTCATGTAATAAGCTAAATTACCAGTTTGTTTTCTTTCCATTTTAATTCATAACTATTTGGTTATGCTCGCTGGTTTGTGTTGGTTTCAACTGCACGGAAAGAAAAATAGTAGAAACAATGGTGATTATTTAATTTTAAAATCAAATAACTCACAGTTTTATTTTGTGTGTAAAACAATCTGAATTTGGGTCGTATAAATTATATTCATATTTGACTTTTTTCTTTTGCGCTTGCATTACATCAGTGCGCGCCTAATTTTCTCTTTTTTTTTATTTTCCTATCTGGGCTTTTTGTGTGGTGCATTCTATCTATATATACACATCTATATCTATCTATACGCCTCCGTGATTCAGACTGACATACTTTTATTGTTGTCATTGGGCGATGTCTGATGTCGCTTTTCTGCTTTTTCTGTCGCTACTTTGCTGCTGATGTTGCTGCTGTTTATATGTTGTTATTGCTTTTGCTGCTGTTGCTGTTGTTGCTGTTGCTGTTGCTGTTGCTGCTGCAAATGCATAACGCAATGCGTGCACAGTTATTTTTAGATTCCAAGCCAAAGCGATCCAATGATTATGATCCATTGATGATGATGATAATAATGAGGGGGCTTTATTCAGTTTGTTTGCGAACGTTTGCGAACTTGGAATAATTCAAATCTAAATCAAAACTTTTCAATCATGTAATCAAACTTTGAAATATAGGAAATGTATCTGAATAAACTTCAAGAATTTTATAGTAATCTTTCACTTCACTTTCTTAAAGGAGCTCTCCTTGAACGTCATAACCCAATTTCATTTACTATTAGTTGCAATACCATCTGTTCAGCAGAAACAGAATCAACGGACGGATCGAAAGATGAATAATCCGGATAAGGAGAAAACCAGAGATGAAGACTTAACAAAAGCCAAGATACATACATGAAATCAAAAACGTGTTCCCTAATCATTTATCATTCTCTTAGTGTTACAAATTTTCCCCCGAGGGAAATCTACGATTATATCTGCATATTACTTTCCCTTTTTCCTTTGTCTTCTCTCCATTGAAATGGAACTTTTTCGAGTTATTTGTGCCTCGCCTTTTCTTGTCTTTTTCTGAGTGCCAGTCGGGGGTTAAGCAGTTTAATTGAATCGGGTTAAAGCTCAGTTATTTAAACGTCTTCTCTATTCTTTATTCTCAGCACTTTAAACATGTAAAATATTCTTCCAGTTGCCCTTGAATGTCTAAGGCTTTTTTTTTGGGCTCAGCTTTTGAAAGAAGAGAAAAAAATAACTTTGCTTGGTTTTAAAAAGTTGTTTGCTTGAACTTTGAAGAAAAACTTGTTTTGTGAGTTTTGTTTATGTTTATGCATGTGTGGGAGCCATGACAATCAATTCAACTTTAAAGCCGACAAACACTTGGCTTTTCTTTTGTGAACCTTTTCAAAAATGATGAAAATTCCAAGCAACGTAACCTTAGCTTAATTTATATGCAGCGTTGATGCTGCCTTCGCCTTATCGCCATTGATACACATAATTTAAGGATAGCCTTAAAGAGGCTGCTCCTAAAAGCACGCAATTAAAACCTTATCCTTGTAATCTGGCATATTCCACATACGCAGTGTTGTGCGGCACAACAGCTGCCGATGAAGATAAATAAAGATAAACACATGGAGCAAGGAGTCGAGTTGAAGGCCCATTGATTTTTCACACGCCGTTACACAAAGTCCTTCAAAAGCTGTCGCCGCTACTAGTTCATGTCCTTGAATGCTATTTTTCTCCGCATCACTCCACTTGGCTTCGTCCTCCACTTTCCACGCTTTCCCATCGCCCATCGCCCCTCGTTAATTTTGTTATTTTAGCCTCATGCTTTCCTAATGATTTTGTCTCGTCAGTTTGGCGCCAACTTATGTATGTATGTGGCCATTGGCCACTGCCACCCCCGAAAAATAAAACAAAATCATGGCGAAAGTGGGAAAAATAAAACTGCAACTGAACAATTCAGTTGATAAGTAGTCCGATTAAAATCCGGAACGTGCAACCCCAAAAAGAATGGAGTCATCAAATGTCTGACTGCAAATACAGTAAATATATAGTACAGTGAACAATACACTTTAAAAAAAATTTATAGAATTATTTTCAGTTAGAATACTTTAGTTCTATTTGTTTAATACAGATAATTAGAACAAATATTAATAGTAAATGAAATGAAAAGGCGATTGTTTTGAAATCTAAATCATTTTCAAGCACTTCAAGTTAGCCAAGCTTGACTGTACTTCCCTTTTAGTGTCTCTCCCCTTCGAGAACATGATTCGTGCGTATCAATCAAACTTTTTGGGCCCAGGACAAAGTGAAGGGCATGGGGTGAAAGGTTACAGTGGGCGGTGGAAGTGGGAGTTAACTGATGACGACGTACGTTCCTCTGTTGTTGTTGTTGTCTCGACTTGCCATTTTGTCATTTATTCGGCTTCTATGCCCGTCTCACTTCCGCCCGTTTTGCCGGCTTATTTCGGCTATTGCGCATATGAAGAATTAACGAAGAAGAAGAAGAAGGCTAAGGAAATCGGAGGGAGTATCTCTTGGCATATTTAATGCAGCCAAATTGAAGAAAATCGATGAACTGCGACAGCGGAAGAAATAAGGCATTACGAGTAATAAGAGTAGGGCTTCCTATATCATTTGTTCGAGTATTTCTCGGAAGGGTGGCAAAGTAAAGAAAGATATTACTTATTTATTTATCGAACCCACAATGAGTGACTCATTGTTCGAGCGTAATAAA